ACTAGTGGAAATAAAAACCCACTGGGAACGTGGCAATGAAAACTAAACATCGGATTGTCGGAAAACAAAACCAAGATGCCGATGTGATTGTCGCAGGTGCTATATAGTTCGTGCTTTGTGTGACACTATATATAAACATGCGGATATTAAAATGCAACGTTGTGTCCTAATTTTAAAGCAATCGTTGAAGAACTTTTGGAGATTATCTCTTAATAACAAACGAACATTTACATTTTCATTTACCTAGATAAACAGATTCCATTCTGTTCTTCTTTCAAGGCTACATGGTCGAGTTTATTACGTTGTATCCCACACGGCGCGGTCTCTTTCCGACTGACGCTGACTGCATCGATCAAATTACGAAACTCTGAGCTCCAGCAATGACCCACAATAGTCACTGAAACACCGGCACACGCAAACCCGAAGTACAGGGTTCGAAACTAGACCTAAGACCTTCAGATTGAGCGGCTACAGCCTAACCATTCACATTAAGAGTCTCATTTTAAAACTATCCTGGCAAGACAGAAACGGTGGTGAATCTACAACGTCTTGATGAAACGATATGTGATGAGCAATGTGGTCAGTATCAAGACTTCATCGTGAAGAAAAGACGTGACCAACGCGCCAATCTCCTTTCGGTTGACAAGTCTTGAGAAGAAGTCCGCGGTGACTTTCATTTGTATATCCTTTTATTAGTCTATCTCTATATGTTACAGTCCGAGGACCGACTTCATTGACCCGGGTTTTATCCCATGTGGCTAGGTCTCTCTCCCCAGAACGGTTAACCGCCTGTCAAGACTGCCGCAAGCATGAACTCCGTAGCTCCAGCAATGATCTCCACGTAGACCTCCGGTCTATCTCTAAAAACAATCTATAACGCAATCCGCCAGTAATTTCTGACATTTAAAGCAGCTCCAAAACATTTAAAAAAAAAACATATTGCATGTTCTGGAGCCGATCGGAACAGATCCCGGAACATCGTGAACAGTCCCACCTTGTTCAAATGTTAGGGTCAGCTGGTGCACCTACTAGCCACTACAAATTATTATTAATGAACACAACGGGCTCTATAGTTGCTGAGTAGCCACTACAAAGAATTATTAATGAACACAACGGGCTCTATAGTTGCTGAGTAGCCACTACAAAAAATTATTAATGAACACAACGGGCTCTATAGTTGCTGAGTAGCCACTACAAAAAATTATTAATGAACACAACGGGCTCTATAGTTGCTGAGTAGCCACTACAAAGAATTATTAATGAACACAACGGGCTCTATAGTTGCTGAGTAGCCACTACAAAAAATTATTAATGAACACAACGGGCTCTATAGTTGCTGAGTAGCCACTACAAAGAATTATTAATGAACACAATGGGCTCTATAGTTGCTGAGTAGCCACTACAAAGAATTATTAATGAACACAATGGGCTCTATAGTTGCTGAGTAGGCGTTGCATGGGTCGCTGGGAAGTCAGCACGTACGAGAACACACGCGTGTGAAGACATTTTTTTAAAGAGTGAGACAAGGTCGCGCGCCACAGGAAATCTATTAATTAGCACACTGATTATGTGTAGCAAAAACAGTTTATTGCAGGTTAGGGTTAGAGAAAGAGGGCAGGCACAACTTCCGAAGTAAGTAGCGCACTCGCTGTGTAGCATTGCATTCTGTTTTGTCTCAAGTTTATATTACGCGAGAATATCATTGGCAATATTTTATTTTTATAAACCAACGCACTTGTGCCATTTCTACACAGACTGATCCGTTATACGCCAAAAAAGAAGCGCATAGGCATTCACAGCACGGTCAGCGGGCAGAACAGTCAAAGAAGCCAACGGCGCCTTCTCCATGACAACCAGCAGCATGACGATGGAGGTGATCGCAGTGACGCAAGCGTTTGCCCTGCTCGAAACACAAAAATACACTCGCGTATGTATACTCAGTGATTCAATGAGGAAGATCCAGAGGGTTCAGGCAGGTTCGGTGCGAAGACAATGGCTTGAATCATTACAGGAGTCCATTGTGCGTGGAGTCACCTTTATTTTTGTTCCGGGAGACGCAGGCGTCGATGGAAATGAAAGAACTGATAGGTTGGCTGGATTCGCTGATATTATTAATGCCTTCAGAGAAATGGGAAGGAAAGAGGATTTTAGTGGCAGTGAATCCACGCCACTCGCCAGAATGGCAGATTTGGGAATTAAGATCGGCATAGCAAAAAATGAGACGCACGCCAGAAGACTTGTTAATAAACATAGAACTGGTACTATTAGCCATCAGACGTTGGGGGTTCATACTGAGGGGAGGATCTGAGCACCTATGGATATGTCCGGAGTGCAATGATGATAACCCAACCAACTAACTAACTTTTGCCATTATTCGCAATGGAGCATAAGCGCCATATTAACTTGCTATTTTAAACACTTCCGCGTTCTCATACCGCCCATCTCTTACTAAAAAATTGTTTCCGTGTGTTTTAGGCCTCATTGAATGTATTCTACCTAGTTAGTTTCACTGCCAGGGCATACGAGCTTCATTACTGGCAGATGGTGTCTCAAAGTGATTTCATTTTTGTAAACTATCATGCAAGTTGCGCCTAGTAATGTTTACGTATTCTGAAGTGCCATAATTTGAGTCGCCTCACCCCTGAAGTAGGTTGGATGTTCATTGGAGCTGCGGGATTCCGCCTAGACCAGTGCGAGCTAACATCTCAACACTAAAACTAATTCAGTGGTATTTGATTTATTAGATTTATCGTCAAATGTATTGAGAGAAAAAAAGAATGAAATGGTTTGGCCTTCTAATGATAATAAAACCAACAATGATAGCAGCAAGAGCGTACAACCTGAAAATCAAAACACCGAGAGGTAGAGAAAGACCGAAAAGAAGATGGATTGAAGAAGTCACTGACACATTGAGACTGCATAACATCACATCAGATCAAGCGAATGAGGGCGCCCTGGCTCGGCTGGCTATCGTCTGATGAACTGCGACACCTAGCGGTATAGGCAGATATTGACAACGGAAGAAGAAGAAGACTGTTCCAAGCCCTCACTGTCCTAGGTCCTTCCGAGTTCTTTATTGGGCTTATAAGTCATCTCCGGAATCACAGACAATCTACAGTTTCATAGCGCCTCACACCTCACATTTCAAGTACCATCAATATTGGAACTCTGCGCTTGCTGCTGAAGATAAGGACGGAGAACACATCGGAATGCCCCGACTGCTGCGATGTCAATTTTTGACTCAACTCACATTTTCAAGTTTGTATCTGACTACTATTAACAGACGGACAGAGTATATAGGGGAATTGTATGATGATAATAGACCAGACGTAGAACTGCAGACCAACAATGATGGTCCACCAATAATGACTACAGAAGTTGAGAATGCAATACATCATATGAAGAAAGGAAAAGCACCTGGGCCAGACAATGTCTCACTGGAAGAAATCGAAGCACTGGGAAATTTTTGATTGAAATAATAACTAAACTTTTAAATGATATTTATAATAGTGGGTATATTCCAAATGACCTTTTAAAATCTATACTTATAGCTCTGCCAAAGAAACTATGCACTTTAAAAGTCTTATGAGTCACATGACTAAGATTTTACTGAGAATAATTATGAGAAGAAGAAAAAACAAAATTAAACCAGAAATCAACGATGAACAATGTAGATTTGAATAAGGAAAAGGTACTAACAATGCCATATACATCCTAAGGACATTGTCAGAAAGAGCTATAGAAGTAAAGACTGATTTGTACTTACAGACTATACAAAAGCATTTGACTGTGTGAAGCATGAAGAAGTAATCAAACTGTTAGAAAAATCATTGATGGGAAAGATCTACGAATAATAAAGAATATGTATTGGCAGCAAACAGCAGCTACAAGAATAAACAACTGTTTAGGTACATTTCAAAGCATAAAGAGGGGCGTACGACAAGGGTGTGTACTTTCACCTGATTTGTTTTCAATTTACAGTGAATATATAATGAGATCTTTAATTGATATGCCCGGAATTGTGGTTTGTGGGCACAATATAAACAATTTACGTTTTGCTGATGACACTGTCTTGATAGCAACAAGTCAGAAAGAATTACAGGAAATGATAGATGTTGTGGTGTTAGAAAGTGGAAGAATGGGCCTCAGTTTGAATAATTTGAAGACAGAAGTAATGGTGGTATCAAAGAAACAAATTATTTCTAAATGTATTATAAAAGTAATTGGTGGTATTTTAGGACAAGTACAGAAATTTACATATCTGGGCACATGGATAACATCAGATGGAAGATGCATAACTGAAATAAGAAACATAATTGGACAGGCAAAAACTGCATCTTATAAAATGAAAAACATCTTGTGCAATATTTCCTTGCCATTGAGAGTTAGAAAAAGAATTCTTGCTTGCTACATACATCCAGTTTTAACATATGGCTGTGAATCCTGGACAATTTTTAGAGGCCTCATAGATGTGGTTTTACAGAAGAATGCTCAGAATACCTTGGACAGCAAAAAAAAAAAGAGCAACCAAGAGGTTTTGAAAGAGGCGGGAGCCCGAAGACAACTTATCACAGACATCAGAAGGAGACAGTCATCATTTTTCGGCCATGTTATGAGAAGAGGGAAAATAGAACATGTTGTGACCACTGGAAAGATCTGTGGAAGGAATGATAGAGGAAGACATGAGAGAAGATGCTTGACAGTCTTGTTGCATGGCATGGAGGTGTGTCGGCACACGAACTGATACATGCTGTAGGATTATGGAGAGGCATGATCGCCCACGCCAGTCGACAAGGCACCTGATGATGATGATGATTTGACTACAATTAATTCGTTGCTTTCTTGCATTCTTTTTGTATATAGCAACTTTTAGCTTTTCTGTGTGTGCGCATGTGCGACCTGTCGCCGCCATGTTGAATTAATTTAGTGGACGCCATTGCTGTACCACATCGTCACGCCGTTGTGTGTAACCGTCTTTTTCTCTCGGTTTTTGTTTCACAATGAGTGACTTAGAGCCTGATAAGTTGAAGGTGGCAGAATTAAGAGATGAGCTGAAAAACAGAGGATTAGATACAAAAGGCAACAAAGCTGCTCTTGTGTCTCGCTTGAAAGAAGCACTTGGCTATGGAGCAGGTGAGGGCGCTGAGTTTACCGTTTAAAAAGTTTTACTTTAAAAATAGACTATTTATAAATTTGTATTTCATTAGGATCTTATAAAAGTGTAAAATATGTATACGAACATTTAAAATATAAAAATATCACATTTTGCAACACCAGAGTCTTTTTTTTGTTCATTTATGATTTTATATAGACCTGTTTTCTTTTTTTTTTTAGCCTCTTGGTTAATTGCTAATTTCTACATCAACTGTCTATTAATAACCCTTTAGCTGCTATAGAGATAACTCGTCTTCCGCTTTCTGTGCCCTCACTGCTAAGGACGAGCTAACTTGTCTTCTTTTCTTACAGATTGAGATTGCTAAGAGCCGTAATTCCTGGGGGGTGAAATCGCAGTATACATTGCCTAAACCTGATCAAACAGTCAGTTACTGACACAATGAAAACACATCACGTTCGTTTAGGTAGCTACTTCAGTAAAATTTTTAAAATGCCCTCTACACCAATGGTACCTCATTTAGGCTTGTATGTCATTTCTGAGCTGAGATATGTAGGTTTTTGTGGAGATGAGATGTAAGAAACAGCCGCTAAAACTTGTGACCCAGAAACAAGAATTTTTTTTTTTTGCGCAACCTACTGCGCAGTTCTGTATCGGCTTTGTTTACATTGGACTGTCATTGGACAAGATGGCAGGCAATGAGACACAGCCACTGGCTGAGCCAGCGATTGCCTGAAAAATGTCACTGTACATCTACCTAGCCACCGTTCAGAAAGAAATTTTATACACAAATGTTAAATTGGACGGAGAATTCAATTATAACTAGCATTACCAGAACGAGTAACAGTTAAAGCCTAAAGCCAACCTCGAATTTACCGCTATTTTCAATCAAACTGATGACTAACAGAAAAACAGAGGACGTCCGGCTGTCGTAGACATGCGCTGTTAATGGGGTTCCCTCCTGCTGTTTTCAGCTATTTATAGCTGGTCCAAATTCCCACCAATGGCAAAATTTCATGAGAGATTTGGACCCATCCGGAAACCAGCCGAGATTTCCCGAAACAAGTTGCGAACGGTTTCTGGGTAACGGAAATTGCCGAAAAGACCCGCCAATTGCCGAACACCGTAGTCGCTACTTTGTTACCATAGAATCATGGTCGGTGAACTGTAATTTTTTTGCCCAGAAATATATTTCTGTGGTTTTGCGTTAGTTTACTGTTTTTTTTTAATAAAAAGAAAATTGGTTAATTAAATTAAAGTTTTGGAAATATTAATGGAGTTCAAGGAGTAATAGTAAGGATCACTTTAACATTAACGTTTGAGTTATATGAGCTGCACTATCATTGCGGCACGTCGGAGGACACATGTACTTCTGACCATATAACCTAGCTATTGGCTATCCTCCGAATAACAGGCATATATTATGGCAGCTAAAAAAACAGGGCCTCAGTCACGTGTCAGTTGCGCACTTCCGGCGTCCTAATTTGCTGTTTCCCGGTGACAACCACCACCGCCGAGAGTACCCCCATGCCGCATCAGCGGCATGGATTGGGGCTAAACTATATGGCTAGGTAGGACTCATGAGCAAAGCTGCAGGAGATGCGGTAGCTGCTGCTTGTGAGTCCCAGCCATCTAGTTTAGCCCCAGTCCACGCTGCATGGGGGATACTCTTAGCTGTGGCGGTAGTCACTGGAAAACTGCAAATTAGGTCACAGAAATTGCGCAGTTGACACGTGACTGAGGCCCTGTTAGGGTGTTTTTGCGGCTGCCATAATATGTGCCCGTTTTTCTGAGGATGGCCCAGCTATCTACATGGACTGGATTTGAAATAGACCCCAATAATCAAAATGAAGATATGGTCACGTACTGACATAATTAATGTTTACAACTGACATAAATGTGTCTGTATCAAAGTGTACAATACTAGTACTTTTTTCAGTTCTAATTTACATATGAATTTTTAGTGTAGTTGGTATTAAGTCCCCATTTACAATCGAAAGGGGTTCAACCCCTACTTTATTTTAAATGGATACTCTTAGCACTTTCGACAACAGATCACTGAAGTAATTATTGATTAAACATCCTGTCACTTGCGTTCAGGTGGATTTAGACGCGTTACACATTATCTTGTTCTTTTGTGAAGCGCGGTTGGTGTACTGTGCATTTATGGGGGAAAACACTCCTGTTGCTGAATTTCACTAAATGTTAGTAAGACAAATTTGACTATCCTCTGAAAAACGGTCTTAGATTATTTAGACCGAAAATATACCCTAACAGAGCCTCAGTCATGCGTCAATTCCGCACTTTCGGGGACTATACGAAAAGTGAAAATTTGCCATTTTGTTTAGTACAAAGGCATTTTCCTTTAATAATAGAGTCCGTGACATCACAGAAAAAATTCCAAACAAGAAAGTGAGCAAAAAACGAGGGAAAACCAGATACATGTGCAAGGTCTGTGATTTGGCATTGTGTGTCGCATCTTGTTTTGAAAAATTTTCCACAAAAAGATAATAATAATAAAAACCATGTATTTGCTTACTAAAGTGTTTTGTGTTTGCTTTGTAAGTTTGTAGTGTTTTCTTTTTGTTAATGAGTTTTCATGGCCATAGCCATGTACACCTAAAATAAAAACCCTTTGAAGGCGTATGGTTGACCTTTGCACTGATAGCCTGTCTGACGTGTCAGTGCAAAGGTCAACCATTCGCCTTCAAAGAGTTTTTATTTTAGGTGTACAATTTTTACCCCGTGCCGCAAGCGCGTCTCCTGCTTTTGGAGGGAAAAAAGGTATTCTGCACAGAACGAAGGATTAGCACAGTGGTTACGTTGGCTAGTGGGTCATGCGTTGTAAACATTTAAAAAAAAAACTTTAACTCGAAAATAATAAGGAACGAAAAATAAGGAAAAGTGAAATCGGCTACTTACCGATAATTAACGCCGTTATATCTGAAAATTGTGGCACATAAATTGCAGATAGTGCCTGAAAATCTGATGTTTGTGGCTACCATAATATGGGTAGAACTAGATGGCTGGCGCTCACGAGCAAATAAAATAAAGAAGCTGCTCGAGATGCAGTAGCTGCTGCTCGTAAGTCCAAGCCATCAAGTTTAGCTCCCTCCGCGCAGCACGGAAGAAACTCAGGGCGTCGAGTTTAACTCCCCAGTATTTTGCGTTTCGCTACATCATCGCCGGGAATTTATCCCACTCGTGCCGCGGGTTTTGTTGCATTTTGCGACATCAGCCCCCAAAATTTATCCTACTTTTGCATCGGTATATTCGCCGGAAAGAAGTCAGCAATTTACCTGTGATTAAGGCCCTGTCAGGTTTTTTTCCCCCACCATAACATGTGGCAGTTATAGGTGGATAGCCTAAGTAATGTTTGGTAACAAAAAGGATATTGTTTACCTTGTTTGATACCACCTTACCAGAGAGGATAGACCATGATTACTTTTCGACTAACCCTTACACCCTTATACTATGGATGAGAATTTTTAATTTAAAGGAATTTCATATGAAACCTTAGAGACACAGAGATGGGGTGAAATAAAATAAAAGAACCCTTTCTTTTTATGGCCTGTGGCATTGTTATGGTAGTCATGTCAGCCCACATATTTCTTATTTTTTCAATAATTTCTGACAGCTGATCTCGATGCTACACACAAAATTAAAATTGCTTAACCTCTTCTCGCTGCTGTCCACCTTCTTATAATTTGTCTAAACATTACATCTGCAGCTTCCACATAATTTTTCAATAATCAACTGTCAAAGATAGTAAAGATACTCGGCTCTCCTAGCAGATTTGGCCGGCAAGCTGGACTGCTTCGGCCGGCTTAGTGGGAGTTATGTCCCTTCGCCAAACTCTAAACAAGTCCCGGAAAAAATCACGAATCAAATGACATACTTACCTATCACCATCCAGGTGCGTGTAAGGTTGTGTAGGGTGTCTATCATCGTCCTACGGTTGTGTGTAGGGCTGCTTATTGCGTGTAGGTTGGTTGTTTGCGTAATTTGGGTGGGGTTAGGGTTAAGGTATAGGGTTAGGGGTATGGTTCGATTTGAAAATTTTCACGTAGGAGGTCGAAATAGTGGCCGACGTTTGTAGGAGTGGCGCCACTGAAACTCTGCCAAATGTGACGCCGTAGTCACCTATAATCGCGCAGTCGTATGCACGCGCAAACAGTCGACGGACGGTGGATGCTACTGACACGGACAATTCGCCAGCGACTGGGCACCAGCCGCCCGCTATTGGCGTCATATGTGGCAGAGTTTCATTGGCGCCACTCCCACAAGCATCAGATTGTCAGCCACTAACCCTTAACCCTACCCCTCATCTTGCGCAAACAACCAACCTACACGCAATAAGCAGCCCTACACGCAACCGTAGGACTATGGTAGACACCCTACGCAGCCCTACACGCAACCGTAGGATGATAGGTAACCCTAGACGCAACAGTACGCAACCCTACACGCACCCGGATGATGATAGGTAAGTATGTCATTTGATTTGTGACTTTTTCCGCTCGTTGTTGTGGGTGCGGCCAAGGGACATAACTCCCACTAAGCCGGCCGAAGCAGTCCAGCTTGCTGGCCAAATCTGCTAGGAGAGCCAGATACTCACACCCCAGGGCTTCTAAAATCTAAGCAGAACCAGTAACATTACCTCTTTTTGAAACAGACATGTTGCTGCAGACATGCCAGTTTCACGGGATTGGCAGAAATTCCAGGTTCCCAGCTTGCCTTTATGAAATCTCTTCAGCACCCCACTTGACAAAGGCAGATTGCTGATCTATAAGTTGGGACTTGACTTGAAAGTAAATTATAGCATTTCTGTTCCTATGTTTTCAGATGCATCAGCTGAAGGAGAGTATACTGCTGGAGATGATGAGGATGAGCAGGATCAAACTAAAGATGAAGAGGAGGAACAAGAAGAAGAGTCTGCCCACTATGATGAGGTATATACATATAACATTGATTTTTACACACAATTAGTTACTTGAGGTTAAACACATTCAAAATTGGTACTGATATGGTTTTGTTTAGACAGGACATTTAGGCATTCCTTTAGGTTGTCAGAACTCAACATTGTATGCTTGAATCAAGAATGACTGTTTCTGTAGTCCTTACATAGAAAGCTTTTTGTGGCAGGATGCACAAGTAGAGGATTCAGCCAATGATGGAAACTATCAAGAGGAGAACGAGAATGCTGAACACAATGGAGCTGCAGAGATTGAAGCAGAAGATGCAACTGCTGATGAAGTGAAAGCTATTGAAGAACAAGAAACAAATGGAAATATGGAGGAGGAGGAGCCGGCTATTGTTCTTGGCGATGAATTCAGGACCATTGATGAAGCCACACAGGACGATACTGGAGAAGGTATTTTATATATTTTTGATCATGTTCTTATGAATAAAGCTTTTGAATGTTCCTAATGTTAAAGTAGTCATCAGTAGTGTTTTTTTTTTTGAATTTATAGCTACACGTGTCTGTGAGTCCTTCCTTTCCAGAGATTTTGTTGAATGCCTCCTCCAAATAACACACCATTTTTGATCTACCTTTCTGGACATTTACCAATCAAACTGTCATATGTAATCATACTTCTGTTTTATAAAATATACTGCATAATTCTGGAAATTGATTTTGTGTGTGTGTAGCTGCTGGAACTGAAAGAGTTGAATGATCCTATGATAGTTGGACACCGTGAAGAGTAGGTGTGACTGGCTGCTGCTTGTCTTGTGTTGATACGGAACCAAATGAGAAACTAGCATTTTTAAAGAAATGTTTAGTTACATTTTGACCTGGGTATCAGAAATAGAAAATACTACAACAAACTACCTAGACTTAAGGAAACAAACTCCAGAGCATCACAAGATTGATTGCATAGATCTTGCTTACCAGTGAAGTAATCTGGCTCCCAAAAACTATCTTGCAAGATAGTGTGACTGTGAAATAGACCTCAAGTGCACACTCAAGCTAGAACATACATGACAACTGTTGGTCGCTGACGAAGGAATACACCTAGACTTACTTCTCTGTAGTTGAAAATTTGAATTTAAAAATTGTGTTTAATAACCTGGAAGAAAATAGAAGACTGGATTATTACCCAAGAAGTTTGTTGCCATTTGAACAGCCAGATATTTAGTGAAGTGAAGTAATTACCTACTTGTGGAGGGGGCAGATCCAAGACCTCCTGACAAAAAATGTTGTAAGAGTTGGCTAATTAGGGATATTTCCTTTCAAATCGGAGTGCATCTGCCTGAGAAACAAGAAACCAACAGTCTATACAAATAAGCCAGACCTGTAAAACATGTGCACACAAAACACAGGCTCTGAAACCAAAGTCCAGGAGTAAATTAACAACAAATTAACTTGTTTTCATTTTAAACATAAATAGGACTTTGTTTTAAATGTAATATTTATTCTTCAGGAAATGCTGACAGAAAAAGGAGACGATCTCATTCACGAGAACACCGCAGGCGATCTCGATCCCGTGATCGTCGATGGGGCTACTCTCGCGACAGAAGATCTAGTCGGCACTCACCAGCAAAGAAGGTTGAGATGGAGGATTCATCTTGGGAGTCTCTGACAGTGTTTACTTTGGATAGATGTTAGTCAATTGTCTGTCTGGATCACTGTGTATAGTTACTTAACTATCTATACCCGGCCGCGTTGCTGTGGCCTAGAATGATGAAATGGAAAAGAAAAAATAGATCTCAGCTGTGTCTGGCATAACCCCCCCCCCCCCCCCCCCCCCCCCCCCCCCCCCCCCCCCCCCCCCCCCCCCCCCCCCTCCACCCCCCAATCACATCTTCCTCTCCGAAGGATTGAAAAATCACCACTTGGTGAAATTGTTAAAATAGAAATAGTTAAGAAATGAGAACTTTGAAATAACGTTTTAAGCTCTCTCAGTTAAGTGTCTGGCATCAACCCCCTCAGCGTCCCCCCCCCCCTTCCGAAACCAGTCTGTCCGAAGTATGGGAAAGTCATCATCTGACAAAATATGTGCAGATATCGCCGCCTAGATGTAAACCACAACACAGCGTGGCAACCACCCTTTTAACAAAATACTAAACACAATAGGGAAAAACAAAGTATACTTTGGGCTGCCAATGTTATGTGTTTGAAAACCCAAGCTAAGGTGACCAAAAAACCCAAGCACAACATAAGCAAAGAACACGAAAATAGGCCAAGAATGAAAAATAGTATAAAATGTATAGTAACGTCAGGAATAATTTACCCACTGTTATGTAAATATATATTATGGGGGGGGGGGGGGGGGAGAGGATACCCTAAAACATGTGGGGAAAAGGCACTTCTTCTTCTTTGCGTTCACCGGCTGTAAACTCCGGCTGAAAGTTCTGGTTGTTCGTCCACTTCTGGACTGCAGTCCTGTTCTCGAACCTGAAGGTTGCATGTGCATCCGTTTGACAGATCTGTATGCAGACTGTTGCACTCCGACTTTAAAGGAAGCTCCCAATTAGTTGACTCTTATGATATGCTTTTGGGTAGGCAGTGGGGCAGTTCTTGTTTTTCCCATAGTAGGGCCCCGGAACCCACACGGGGGAGGCACTTATTTATTGGCAGCCCTGCTCAGCACTGGCCAATCAACTAAAACAAACCCGGGCCGGCAAAGAAACAAATAATGATTTGATCGGTGCTGGAGCTATGCCGTTCGTGCGATTTTATGACATAAAAACATGCTTTGAGACAAAGGCAACGTTGTGTGAAAATTTGAAAGCAATCGGTTCAGTAGTTTCAGAGTCTATAGTTAGCAGACTCGGCGAAAAATTTACATTTTTTATTAATTTAGATAAACCTCTTGGCTAGAGAATAACTTTCAATTCTATGAACTAAAAATGAGTGGTATTTATTCAAGAGACAAAACTGCAGATAAGACAACCTATTTCAGGCAAATGAAAGAACTTTGTGTTAGTTCATCAGTGATTACTGTGATAGTATTTGCAATACTTTGTATATATAAATGTATCCACTACTGCTGTTGTAATAAATCATCATCATGTGGCAGGTCTTTTGCAGAATATTGCTGTCATCATAGTCGGTCAGAACAAAAATTGTCTCTTGTCAGCTCTTCTTCCACGTGCACTATCATATATCTAAAGTGTCACTTATATCCTATGCCCACCTTCATGTTAATTGACCCTCCTTCATGGTACTGTGCCTTAATTATTTTTTTATCCATGTGCTGTGGCCATAATATTTTATCTTCCCTATGCTGTTTATTAGCAAACCTTATTGCAGAATAGTGATGCAGTGGATTCCAGGTCACTCCGGCACACCAGGTAATGACAGAGCTGACAGATTGGCAAAGAAAGGAGCAACACAAGAACAACCACCTACAGCGACAACCCTCCAGACAGCAAAAACACTGATAAGAGCTATAAACAAAGAGACTTGGTTGAACAGATGGGCCATGGGAGACACTGGAAGAGAGGTTTATAGACATATGTCTGGCCCTGATCCTAATGACAGCATTAACCATCTAACAAGAAGGGACCAGGCCACTATCTTCAGACTTAGAACTCAATGGACACCTAAACAGAATACAGCCACAACACTCTCCAGAGTGCCAGCTATGTAACTACCCCTACGAAACTGTTGAACACCATCTCTTTGAGTGCCCAGAACTCAGTGAGACAAGAAGAACGCTACTCCCTCCGAGACCAGACAAGTGGAACACCTTGTACGGAGGAAAAGAACAGCTTGTGAAAACATGCAAATTCCACTACATGGCATTGGGCCAAAGGGCGAAAGCTCATGCGCCGCTGGATCGATAACAACAACAACAACAACATTAGCAAACCTTATTGATGTTCAGATCTTTTAGAATGTTGGTATTTCTTTTCTTCTTTGTCCACGGTATTTTAAGAAACAATAGCATTTCGGTTCAAAGGCCCCTATTTTTTAACAGTCTGCTTTGCTATTTATTATGAAGCCTAGATATAATAAATTTGTGACATTTTCAATTTTCTCTTTATTATTTTTGGGTGACAGCCAGTTTTGTCTGTGGATAAGATTGTTTTGCTTTTGATGTTGGACACAATCAGAGCTATAATCAATTAAATATACATAGATATCTATTGTATTCTCTACATTTTTTAGCTTCATATTGAAGATGTGATTCCTAGTTCCTCAGTTCTGTCTAAAACCCTCTTGTGCTCCATGTAGCTCATATTGTAGTTTCCTATCAGTTCTCTTCACAGTACTCTGTAAGAGTATTTTGCTTGTAGGGCTTTTATTATAAGTACGATGTACAGGCGTTGGAGCATGGTTTCACTTTCCTTTCTTTGTGAGAGGGATATAAAATGTTCTTTTAATGCTTAGACCAGACCATGCACAGTGCAATTTAGATTTAACTTGTCCCCCTGCCTGGATTAGTTCTGCTGGTGTTCCATCACAATCTCACTTTCATAAGTTGTTTCTGAATTACTTGTCTGATCATATACATTTCTCTAGAGTATTCTTTCTATCTCTTAGGTTTCTGTTAAGGTATTACCCTTGTTATCGTCATTACATGAAATGATTGCCTGAATTTGCCTTTTAATGGTCTAATTTCCTTTAACGTCTTTTCCTTTCCTTGCATCAGGAGTTCTGCTCTATTACAGGTATTCATTAAAATTTGTTTCTAGTCTTCTCTGATAGTTCTTCTGATTTCTCTTTATAATTGTTGTTCTTATATGCTTGGCTATTTGGGTGTGAATATGACTTCATCGATACATGATAATACATCCATTTAATCAATTTACAGATGAATCTGACCTGAACCTGCGCTTCAATGACAGAGGCATCAAAGCTCATCCCCTGACTGTGGGTGGGTTTGCTTACATGTGGTCAGGTGTGCGTGCCAACTATGGAGTTCACGCAGGGAAAGTAGCATATGAAGTCAAGGTAAGTTCTAATGTAGTTACTTGATTAACTAGAAATACTGTACAAATGGCAGTTACTAATATGTGGGTAGAAGCCAACAAATGATCACTTTCACTGTCAACTGCACATTTCAAAGCTATTTTCATGCATTACTAGGGCGCGTTGTTAGTTGAATGTCAATGTGTGTCAACATTCAGGACCATAATCTACCCAAACATTAGTGCACTTCTAACTCCTGACATCCTCTGTTATGGACACACAAAAAAAGATTTTAGTTCAATGAAAATATCCAAGCTGAATATTTTGACATTGGAATCTAGAAAGACAGCAAAAATAAGCTAGAAAGGGTAATGTCTTAGGATATATCATGACTGTTAATGTTAACACAATTTTGAAAAGACAGCAGGTTCCAAAAAAAAAAATCATTTGCTGATATAATAAAATATAGATAACCCAACTTTAAACAGCTTGTCTCTTCTAGCCGATGTTGCACAGAAACTTTTACAGAAAGTACTTTTTTTTTTTTAACCAGGTACTGGAATTTCTGAATGTTGATCATCTGCCAAGGGAAGAAGTCACCCCTCATTGTCTTAGGGTGGGCTGGTCTGTGAACACCACATCACTGTATCTTGGTAAGAAAAATTCAGCCTGGTTTACACATTAGCTGATTTAGGTCTGTTAAGTTTGAGCTGTCTTATATTTTAACAGCACCGTGTGGTAATAACATAACAGTGTTAGGGAATTCTTGGATTTAGCTGTGGAGTGACACCTTTCACGCGACTCATATTTCTCGAAGTGTACAATTCCATGTAATTTTTGGACCAGAAATAAAGAAACCTTTTTCATGTTTTAGTCATAGAATTCAGAAATGAATGCTCTTTGCTTTCTCATACATGTAATAGTTGTTTAGCTTGTCCTCATCTGTGTCTGATGATGAATAATTCTCTTCATATACTGCCTCGTCCTCAATTCCATCTCTGGCATTTAAAAATGTAACACTTCTTGAATGACTTGACACTGATCTGAAACTTAACATTATTCCAGGATTTTTTCAGGTACCAGGTACAAACCTTTCCTATAGTTGGTTTCTTGACTCTACCTGCTGGTGTCAGATTGTCCTCAGAAGACTTCAAGGGTTTATTCATGCTGGCATGAAGTGGTTGAATCTTAGTGGACAGGAATTCCTATTGTAACAAGTGCAAAGACAAGCGCAAAAACTATTACCATTGTATAAGACATACTCTGTGTTGAGACCCTATATTTTTGAAAACGTGTCTTGTCTTATATTTGGGGAAATATAGAATGTCAGCCGACTTACTAAAGCATTGAGTAAATACATGGCAGTTCTATTCTCTGTTCTGATCTTGGTTCCCAAATGGAGCACAGGCCCTCAACTAAACTCACTGTCAATTGTCCTATCCTTTTCTGTTGCAGTCAGCTTTTCCCATGTCTCACTCTTCCCCCATCTTTTTCACTTTACTGTCTAATACTCCATGTTTTTTGTTGGATCTGTTTGTTTTCCGGTGAATATGTGGTTTCCATTTCAAGTACAGTGAGATAATCTATAATTTTTGTAGCATAATTTAGCTGTACTTAGTTTAGGCAAAATCTTTTTTGAAATTGTTATTAATCCTGTTTTGTATCATGTTTATTGCTTATGTCTGCACTTTTGAGAATCAAATATTGCTGACATCAGATTACCATAGCCTCAGATCTGTGCTAAATGATCACCGGGTGAATACTGCAGCTATGTCTAAGTTAAGGTTTTCATCACCTTATAGGGTGGGAAAGAAAGTCTTTGTTATGTGCCTGTTCTTTTTTGAACTTTGCATCAACTACAGAATTCAAGGCATTTTTTTTAACCCTGAAATATAACAATTATTTTGTCACATGACAGTTTGAACATCAGAAGATATCTTTGCACTCTTGTTTCAGGTGAAGAACCTCTGTCGTACGGATATGGCAGTACAAGCCAGGCTTCCACAGACAACAATTACTTCACTTATGGACAGACCTTTGGTGTCGGGGATGTGATTACTGCATATCTGGTATGTTTTATTAGTCATTTTAATGTATATTAGATTCCAGTCCTGTGCAGTGCAGTGCACATATTTTGGTTAGGTTAGCCTTGCACATGCCAGGACATCTTGTCAACTCAAAAGGCTGAATTAATATTAATTTTTCTAATGTTTTTTAAAATGTAATTCACCCTATCTCACAGACTTCGGGTGAGGGGATTAGTCTGTGTTAATTTGATTATAACAGTCTTATACTGTTGGACTTTCCTGGAAACTTTGACTGAATCTCGAGTCCCTTGGATAGGGTGAAATTAAAGAAAAGCTTTTTTTTTTTAATTATTATTATGTTGGCGTACATCTGCCCATGAGGAGAAAAGAAATAAGCCAGTTCTGTAGAGTGGACGTGGACGCAAAACTCAGATTCTGGAACAGAGCCAAGGTCCAGAAGTGGATGAACAACCAGATCTCTTCCATTGGTGTTAACAGCTGAGAAATGCTAAGAAAATTTGCAGCAGTTGATCCTGTCATATGTTTTTTTATTTAATTGAACTATCTGATTCTATTCTTTGTCTGGGGTTTAATAAGACTATTTAGTGTACACAGTCTGCAAGGGTTTCAAGCCAACGTAATTGAACAGAAGTTACAAAAACTGGGTTGGGACAAAGCCGTGTCTTGTATTTGATCTGGCTGTGTAGAATATAAACTAAGGAAAAAGCTCGGGGTTGCTAATATCAAGTCCTTCACGTAATCAAATATAAGGTTTCAATCATTCAGCAGAGACCATGTCACGGTAATTGACAAGATACCTTATCTGTTACGGCTAGCAGTCAAGAGTGCAAAGAGAAAGCCTCATTTGGAAACTCACATACTTAGTTGCTCCTCTTCTATCTTGGGGTGTAGAGGTTTGTCAAAAAGATCGACAGTTTTCTCATTTGAAAAACCTACAGTTATTAGAGAAATAGATTGTAGTTCACGTTTGCTGTTTTTTTTTAAATGCCAAGCCACTTGTCACCTGAACTGTAGTGCCATAGTAGTGAGCACATGATCAGTCTTCCTATAGCAGTAGAGCTGTTTCAATTGTAGGAACAATGTGCTCGTTGATTCAGCATGATGCTCAAAAGTCTCAACCTTTTTTATCTGGGCAGTGGTGTCTGTATTTTCTAGTGAAGCTGGCACCTTTATCAAGCATTCAGTCATAAGTTTATCTTACCTTTGTTGATAAAGTTGTTCTCAATAAGGCAATTTACCCAGCATTTAGTTTTTTTTATATATCAAGTCATTGGGCTGTGGCCACTACACCTACATAGCAAATTCTGTGCTGATGTCAGGTTCATAGTATGTAGACATGGGTGTGATTATATTTAAAAAGAAATATATATATGGGGGGGGGGGGGGGGGGTACTTCAATGACACCATTTTGTCCCAGTGGCTAAGTCAACAAAACTATGTTTGTCATGGTTAAAGGGAGGAAAAGCAGTCATTTGTTTGCTGTTTGTATTCAGTTAATAATTCTGTTTCTTCAAACATTATTTCGCTCATAAAAATTTGATAAAACATGTGATCTGGCGAGTGCAATGCTTGTTTTTTCGGTGCCCATATTTCAACCCCCTGGATTTTATAAGAACCTGAACCAAGACGTCAGCTTTTTTCTTCTCGTCCTCCAATTTTCTGGGCACAGTTAATTATAAGGAGTTTCATTTTAAATTATTTTTATTTGAAAAAAAGTCACATCACTTTTTAAGATTCTATCAGGGGGAGGGATTAAATATATATCTCTAGTCATAGTAAGGAAGCAATAATCTGCATACAAATAAAATCAGATCTGTAAAACATGTGCATGCAACACTCAGGTTCTAGTTGGTAAACGTGAATAGGAAGACTAATTTTAAAGATCTCTTGTCTGTTCTGTGTTGGATTGAAGTATTACAAATTGTTTCTTCTATAAAGGATTTTGAAGGCGATGCAATAGTCATATCTTACTCCAAGAATGGGGAAGACCTTGGGACTTGCTTTGAGATTGAGAAGGAGACCATTGGAGATAATGCTCTCTTCCCCCATATGATGACCAAAAATGTGGAGTTTGAATGTAACTTTGGTGCAAGGGTATGCATATTGTGATTACATTTACTTGGTTATCTTAAGTAGGATCATTTTCTAGATGAGCAAAAGTTTGGCATTTCTTAACAAGATGCTCACACATTGTACACCGATTTCTCTCTGTCTTCCCCCCTCTCTCTCCCTCTCTCCCTCTCTCTCTCTCTCTCTCCCTCTCTCTCTTCCCCCCCCCCTCTCCCCCCCCCCCCCCCTCTCTCTCTCTCTCCCTCTCTCCTCTCTCATTCATATTCATTCATTCATACACTGCAACAACTGGTAATTTCATGTCTCAGCACTCAATTTTTCTTTCTTTCTGCTATCCCTGATGCCCAGTTTCATTTTAAGGAAGCTGTTTTTACTCGTCTTACTTTTATAACTGATCACATACTGTAATTGTTCTGTTTCTGTACTGTTATACATTCAAGTGTGAATGTGTGCACATTCACTGGCTCATACTGTGTCTTAATTCTAGGAGGGACCATATTTTCCACTGAAAGATGGTTTCAAGTTCTTGGAGGAAGTGCCACTTGAAGAGCGTGTACGTGGAAACACACCACCTGCAACAAAAGAGGAGTGTGAGGTATGTGATATTCTATTTTTGTGAAGTGTGGAGAGGTAACAGTTGGAGGCACAGGCAATCTTTCCCCTTACATTCAGAAGCTTATTAAACAGTGATGTATTAGATGATTTAATCCTGATGGGAGGTCAAGGGCTCCATTTGAGTATGTAGGGGAGCCATGCCCTTAAAGTTAAAGGCAACTGATTAAAGTTTGCTTAAGTGATATTGCTTGGTTGAAAGGCACAGATATCACACCCCAGCTGCAAACAGCACCCTGCCAGATACCTTCTTAGGAGCGGACAAAAATAATTGATGTCATAAAACTTGCCGAGCTAGAAGACTCAAGAAGCTTTTGCTGATTATGTTCCCAATGAGGGGGGGGGGGGGGGTGTTAAAGATACACAGCACCTTTACAAGTGTGTTGTGAAAGGTGACTAATTAGAGAGGTTTCCTTCTAACTTGGGGTTTGCGTGTGTCTAAGAGGCAAAGAGCCAATAGTCTGCTTACAGATAAGCTGGATCTGTAAAACTGATGTGCACACATAACTCAGTTTCTGAAACAAGGTCAAAATCCAGAAGTGGAAGAACAGCCAGATATTTTCATCATAGTGTAAGTGAGTCAACAAGTGAAAACATTCATCACCCTCAGAGTTATCTACACAGCCTTGGTTATAGTGATCATTTTCTGTGGTGGTGCATCAAGAGTATGCACCAGGTCATTAGTTCACCTAAAAGTACTACCTGATGAGATATATCCTTTGTTTTCTTAATATGTTCACCATTAACATCCATCACGTTGGCAATGGAAGTTTGGCACTGTAAATTGAGAACTCACTTTTAACATTTTCCGCATCTTATTTTTAACCATAACATTTCTGTGGTTTCTCAGGCTATTAGCACCATGTGATTTTTGTTTTTGTTTATACAGACCTTTTACATGTGCCTGATTTGTGAGTGTAACTTTATTTGTTTATTGTTCGATAGGTGATCATGACCATTGGCCTTCCAGGTGCTGGTAAAACTTATTGGGCAGAGAGGCATATTGCTGCACATCCTGAGAAACACTACAATCTGCTTGGAACCAACAGTATCATTGATAAAATGAGGGTATGCCCTTGTTTAATGTGGCTTAAATGTCTTTACAAAAGTATAGATATTGCATGCACAACATTCTTTTGTGACATGTCATAGTCTTATTTGTGGGGTTTCCTCTTTATCCACTTATCTACAGGTGTGGCCCCTGGAGAACCTGTCCACTGCAACTGGTCAGCCCTCAAAAGAAAGCAGGGGCAGATCAAAGGCATTTTCCTGAAGAGGATGTTCAGCATGTTAGACACCTTTAACACCGTTTCATCTGGACACTTAGTACCACAGTATAGAAATGCATCAGGCATAACTTCTGTTGGTTCCGAGCGGGGCCAATGATAGTGGACATTTGAACCTTTCTGTCCATCAGTAGGACTTTTGGCAGCCAGACATATGGGACTGTGCTTTTATGCTTTAGGGCAGGGCTACTCAGCTGTTTGCTCACGGGTCACAGTTCTGAAAACGGGGTTCCTTGCATGCCCGAGGCCTAGCATAGAAAAATCCTTAAAAGAATAGAACTGGCAATGTTCTGCTAGGTCTCCATAGACTAAATTTAGCATGCAGGCCACCAGTGTGAATAACCCTTCCGTATGCCATGTCTGACAGGCATTTGAGTCAGATCGGCTCAACGACAATGGCAGATTGTCATTGCTTACCTGAGCACTGTGTCGGCGACGACATTGAGGGTCCACAAGGTTGTATGTAAACAGGACGTTAGCATGAGTTACCACCCATTTTCTGTGAGCACATTTCTTGGTCTAGGGCTGAGTCTCAGCAGTTCATTAGTTCCTTTGAGCAACAGATATTTTAACTGAGGGTTGTCAAATTCGGCTAGTAGGCTTTACTCGTGTACCAAATGAGTGTTGATAGACGTTTTCATCCGTGCATTTGCGATGGTATGATAAGAGCCAGATGATTTTTGGGGGCGATGTGAAGTTTGAGATGTCTCAACCCAGATTGAAGGACATATCATCCACATGCATCCAGAAAATAGTGTTAACATTTGAAGAAACAGAGGTACAGGTCATCGTCTAGAGCAGTTTGTTTTCCAAACTTTTCTTAGTTGCTGCGGTTTTTTCAATTGAAATGTTTCCATGGCACCCCAACCTAAGTGAAAGTATGATTATTTGCATGCAAAGAAAAATAAAACTGTATCTTCGAATATTTTGTGGTGAAGAGGCTACGGCGCAAAGTTTAGGAATCACTTGTCTAGATCCCTCACATATGATTGGCTAAACGACTATGACACTCCGTTAGTATAACAACTTAGCCAAGCACCCCTTTAATTTAGTTGCTTTTCTTCTACCTTGGGGTGTTGAGGTTTGCTCAAGAGACTTCTCTATCAGCAGTTTTCTTTCTGGCTTTGTTCGATTCCAGTCCGCTGTCATTGTCTTCCCAGCAGACCCTGGATCACCCTGGAGGTCTGGTTCCCTGGTTCTTAGCATCCCTTGCCTGTCATTGTGGCCGATTTTCTCCCATTCTGCATACATGTCTAAACCACGACCAGCTCTAGCTGACGGGCTGTGCTGCTGACGTCACCGGGTCGGGCTAATAATGCGTTAATGCAGCAGTTCTCAAACTGGGGGCTGAGGCACCCTGGGGTGCAGGGAGCGTATGCCAGGGGTGCCGCGGCAATAATCAAGAAAAGTCGGCTAAATATTGTGAAATTATTAAAGAAGTCCTGTAGATACTTAAAAGTTAAAATTTAAGTTGTCTTGCCCCTCCACTGTCGAGAAAAGTTTATTTCTTGTTTTAGAACCGCTGCGTTAATGCGTTGTTAGCCCGACCCGATGACGTCAGCAGCACGGCCCGTCAGCTGGAGCCGGTCGTGTCTAAACCATCTGAACTGACTGATCGACTCGAGTTTGTAAGGCCTGGGTTTCAAGATCTTCATGTATTGTCTGATTGCGAACTTTGTCCCTCTTGTCACTTGGATATCTTTCTCAGATAGACATCTTGTTTCTGAAACCTGAAGCTGGTTTCTGTGAGCTGTTGTCATTACCCATTAATGACGTGAGGTCAGGACTGGCATATGGCCAGCACCCTCCTCAGAGCTGAAATGTTGTGTTTATACTTTATTATTACACTTGATGGCCTATGGTGAAGATGTTTATTTATTTTACAGGTGTTGGGTAAACCCAGACGACAGAACTATAGCGGTGAATGGAGCGTACTGTTCGACAAGGCAACGAAATGCCTCAATCGATTCATTGAAGTAGCTGCTCGCAAGAAGCGCAACTACATTATTGATCAGGTATGTTTATGTCAGCTGCCAATGTCACAGTCCTTGCTGGTCACTTTCTAGATACGCTGAGACCAGGATATATTGTAGAACTAGAATATAGGTTTGCGTAATATCAATCATAACCTCCAAAGAATTTGGGATCTTACAGCTAGTGTGTTGCAATGCATACATTGATGGTGTTTGCAGATGTCAGAAATAACAGTAGATAGACACATAGGTCACAGGGTGGGAGTAGTGATAATTTGATACTAAATGCAGGCAAATGATGGATACGTACTTAGTGGCTTATGAGGCTATCTGGTAACAGTGAGTCATGGTGGTTAATTGGTTAGGGCAGTGGCTTCTCAAGGCATTGCAACTGTTTCCAATGGTTTATGTCACATGTTTTGCATTGTGTTCTTTTGTATGGTACACTCGTGGATACCGGTGTGAAAAACAATGGATCTGGGACACAGAGTTATAAAAAGACCATTGCAGGTATGCACACGGTGGACTTTGAATGACAGCATTTGAGAACAACACGACAGGAGTGCAAAGATTGGGACAGGAAGGTTGTATAACATTTTGTTATTCTTTGGTAGCATCTTTTCTGTAATTCATGACATCACATGTGTGAAAGTTATTTAAACGAGTATATACACACTGTAAGCTTTCTGGGTTCAGAGACGATCATTGTTTCCTGCACCAGGGAATTTACTTTGGTAACAGAGATAAGTTTCTGTAGTTAAATGAAAACGTGTAACCAAGCACCTTGAGACATGACAGCTGGGTAAAGTGGCACTAACATTGGACACCATTTCAATATTACTTATACAATTATGATGTAGTTGACACTTTTGTTGGTTCTTGAAACATGAAACAGATTCCACTATTAGTGTGCCTGCATTATGGCACTGACTGTGATCATTTTGAAAATAATGAAATAACAGATGCAGTCACAAAGTGTTGGGGAAATCACTGGCACAAGTTTCACTCATTTTTTTTTTAATACACACATACATACTCATGTAGGGTGAAGGTTGTGCTCTGTATATTTTCTTTCAGTAATTTTGCTGTAAGTATAATTTTTAAAGTATTTGTTCTGGCATGTGTTTGTTTGATTGGGAGACTTAATTAGAAAAGAATTCCAGATTGGACATCTGAGGAGCGTCTTGGCTGCAGACGTCTTGAACATCTGATTAAATATTTTTTATATTTTGTTGCCACGCTAGACAAATGTGTATGCATCATCCCGGAGACGGAAAATGCAGCCTTTTGAAGGATTCCAACGCAAGGCTGTAGTAATCTTGCCAACTGATGAAGTGTACAAAAATCGAGTGAAGGAAAGACCAGAGGAGGAACGAAAGGATATCCCTGAAAGTGCAGTTAACGAGATGAAAGGTAATGATATGGACATGACGGATCTTGATCAACGCTTGATTCGAAAATGTTTCTGCAAGTATTTTTGTTTGAGGACTGAACAAGGCAGGTACATGAGAATAGACATAAATAAACACATAGAGATTATGCACAACGCATATCTTGAATCCAACGAACATTAATGGGGGTCATTCTTACTGTATCTTGTTTTCTGTGTCTCATTTAGCATCTGTTGACTTCTCCCAGCCTGCCTGTTTTCCTTTTCTGCTATTCACAATGAGTTTACATATGGGACTTTTAAAGTATTTAAATGTAGATGAATTAGCTTGAAAATGACTAAATACTTTAGTTATGAATTTATGTTACTACTTTAAAAGGTGATTTCTGTAGTACTGCTGATGATAGAAACTGCAGTAGCACAGAGGTTAACATGCATGGCTGCTTGCCTCCATGGTCAAATGTGGAGACTGTGATCTGGGCTTGCAGTTTCTTCTTCTTCTGCATTCATCCAGAGATGTAATTGCGTTGTGTCCGTTTACAGCATGGCTGCGATATTTGCACCTTTCGGCCAACACATCCGACTTCTGCAGGGATTTGTTGACCAGGTTAGCTTTTCCGGTGGGCTTGCAGTTTTATCCATCCTAAATGGACCCCTAAAAAATGCGGAAAGTGTCGGTACATCATCCAAATTATGCTAGTCAGTTATGGGACTAACACCATATACCAATGTTTGATAGCATTGAAAGGGGTCAGCTATTATTACTGGTATGGTTTTAAACATAAGCATTATATAGAGATTACACTATTACAAAGCTAGGCACCTCTGTTTCCTATTTTAAAGTGTTATCTAGATTTATTATAATGCACTGAAAAATAACCTTTTATAGTTCTTTCCATATTATAAGTGCACTGTTTAAAATTGTCTGATTATAACTGTTTAGATCAGTGGTTCCTAACCTGCCGAATGCTGCGACCCTTTAATACAGTTCGTTTATGTTGTGGTGGGACCTTCCCCCCCCCCCCCCCCCCCCATTATTTTTATTGCTACTTCGTAATTTCAGTGAATATGTGTTTTCTGATGGTTTTAGGCCAAGCTCTGTGAGGGGTTTGTTTGATTGCCAAAGGGGTCGTGATCCACAGGTTGAGAACTGCTGGTTTAGATGTTAGCTCTGCAGATGTAGAAACTTTACTTAGACGATAGGATGAGTATAAGGTCCAAGTAAGTTTTAGAACTGACTGAAACTTGATTTTATTGACAATTTGCACTTGAATGTTTTTACTAACAGCCAGTTTGAGCCTGCCTGAGGACGGTGAATATTTTGAAAGCATCGAGTATGTGGAGGATGTGCCAAAAGAGGAACGTGACAAGCTGGTGGAGCAGTACCGTAAAGAAGGCAGGGACGCCCTTCCTCCGCCAGAAAAACGAGAGAGGCGAGAAAGTAAATACATTTCATTTTTTGCTAACATCCATGATCATGTGAGAATGATTTTTTTCCCACATTTAATCTGTTTAACCACACACAAACACATCTGGTATTGTTGAGCTAGTTTTAATTCTTATATTTGGAAAAGAAAAAAGAAAATGTGTTTTTATAAAAAAAAAAAAATAATGTCTGGTATTGAAGTGTTTGTGTAGTCTCAGTTTGGTCCTAAATTCTACAGGCAGAGATTACAGAAGTGACCGCAGGACAAGCAGTTACCGTGGTGGTTATGATAGGGAACGTCGAGGAGGATACAGAGGCAGCAATTGGAGACCTTACAATGAGCGCCGAGGTGGTAAGTTTCTCCACAAAAATATGTCCATCATCATGAAGCAGGTCATTTTCAGAACGTTGAGTTCTGCCTGAAAGAAGCTCCGTCTCTCAAAAGGTCTTCCACCTCGTGTACTTAAATACGCAGGAAGTCACTTTTATCCTGTGCCCATCTTCATGTTGGTAGACCCCTGTCCCTTCTTCCTGGTGACATGCCTTCTGTTATAATTTTTTCAATCCACTGTGATCTTGCCAAAATATTTCAACTTCTGAGACAAGATGCTGTTTATTAGCCAATCTTCCTCGATGTTCAGATCTTTTAAAATGTCAATGTTTCTTCTCTTCTTTGTCCCTGGTATTCTGAGAATCTTTCTGTAACATTTCAGCTTAAAAGCCCATATTTTCTTTCTTACGGACTAGGAGATAGTCCATGACTACAGGAAAAATGCATGCTCTCATATTTTATTTCCTTACTTAATCATAAACACACGATGACAATCTGCTGTTCAAGATGTTTATCTGATCACTCGTGTATTTGTTGTGTAGGAAGCCCACACTGTAGTCGTATATCTTCTGTTTAGGATTATCTTATGTAGATGATAATAATTGTTTAGAAACATGATTTGTCAGTTTCACCTCAGTGTGTTTAAAAAAATAGCACACATTTCTTCAGCTCATTTTTAAAAATATTGATTGGTAGGCATGGCGCAAATTGTTGAATTAAGAATCAAATCACAGCACTCGGGACCCTCCCATAAGCCTTCCGTCACCATCTTCAGCAGTGAAGAGTTTAAATTCCGATGGTACCAGTAACAGTCTGATTGTGTATCTGTCTCGCCCCTCCATCTTGCCCTTTCCTTAAGTGCTGAGCGTTGGCCAGATCCCCTTGTAACTTCTCGCAGTGCCATTCTCCTCAGACCGTAATGATCTATCTGTTCCTCGGCACTGTTCACTAGCTCCCAAAGGGCCCTCACAACATCCAGCTTGTCATATATCAGTTCACTACCAAGTGGTAAATAACCGGCCAGTCTGTCCGCCTGCTAATTTCCCAACACACTGGTGTGACCTGGAGAAAATATCCAAAGGATACTAACTGCCTGAGACCTCTGAAGTGATGCTTGCCACTCTGCACGGAGCATACTTGTCTCCACCTTTCTCAGCATGCTCTGTGAGTCAGTTACAATGACGACATGTGTGTACAGCTGATTCTGAAGCCAGCAGTGACCGCCTCCACCTCCAATCTCAAACTAGATGTTGTGATATCATATGCCAGGCTTTGTTGCACCTTCGCCATGAACTCCCATGCACTCGTCTGCCCCTCACCACTGAGCCATCTGTATACAATCACATCACTCAGGCAGGGATTGTCATGAATCATTTGTTAAACTTCTGCAGCACCAGCTGGCCAGTACCTGCACTCACGTCCAAAAGTAATTAAAACCCCATACAAGTCTGAAACAGTGTTGGATTGTCGTAACTAGTTGATTATTGTAGTAGGTACAGTTGCTGACTTAACTATTTGATTGTTGTAGTAGCTACAGTTGCTAACTAGTTGATTGTTGTAGTAGGTAAAGTTGCTGACTCAACTAGTTGATTGTTGTAGTAGGTACAATTGCTGACTCTCTTTGTGTTGTAAAACGGCAGATAGCAAAACTCACCAGCTAGACCAGTGGTCTCCTACCTTTTTTCAGGTCCCTTCTCTCTTGAGTATATGGCAAGACCCCAGCGCGCCCCCCCCCCCCCTTGAGTATATGGCAAAACCCCCATTCAGCGCCCCCTTTGAGTATATGGCAAGACCCGCAAGACCCCCAGCGCCCCCTTGAGTATATGGCAAGACCCCAATGCCCCCCTTGAGTATATGGCAAGACCCCAATGCCTCCCTTGAGTATATGGCAAGACCCCAATGCCCCCCCCCCCCCCCTCCTTGAGTATATGGCAAGACCCCCAGCGCCCCCTTGAGTATATGGCAAGACCCCCAGCGCCCCCTTGAGTATATGGCAAGACCCCCAAGCCCTTCCCCCCCCCCCCCCCCCCCCCTGAGTATATGGCAAGACCCCCCCAGCGCCCCCCTTGAGTATATGGCAAGACCCCCAGCGCCCCCCTTGTGTATATGGCAAGACCCCCAGCGCCCCCTTGAGTATATGGCAAGATCCCCAGTTGCCCCCTTGAGTATATGGCAAGACCCCAGCGCGCCCCCCTTGAGTATTTGGCAAGACCCCCAGCGCCCCCCTTGAGTATTATGGCAAGACCCCCAGCGCCCCCCTTGAGTATATGGCAAGACCCCAATGGCCCCCTCCCCCCCCCCCCCCCCCCCTTGAGTATATGGCAAGACCCCCATTCAGCGCCCCCCTTGAGTATATGGCAAGACCCCATTCAGTGCCCCCCTTGAGTATATGGCAAGACCCCCATTCAGCGCCCCCCTTGAGTATATGGCAAGACCCCCAGCGCCCCCCTTGAGTATATGGTAAAGCTCCCATTCCCCCCACCCATTGAGTATATGGCAAGACCCACCACCCCCTCCCCCCACCCAAAAAAATTTTTGATTTTCAAAGAGGACAGTAGATATGAGAGGAACACAGAAAGAATATATATTTTGGTCGGAATGTGTTCTTCATTTATATAAAATAAAATTCCTGTATTATCATATTTTAAACCGTTCATGTACAAGCTGCATTTGAAAACAAAAAATATCCTTGGCTTTTTGTTTTATAAATAGTTTTAACAGATATTTTATGTTTTTGATAATGAAAATGATACAACAGTTTTTTTAAAAAATACAAATGCATTTATTTTCTCAATTGCTTGACAGGTTGTTGACCGCTAAGCTAGACATTGTAATGAATAGTCAATATGTGTTTCACAATTCATTGGTTTTGTTAATCTATTCACTGGTTTCTTTGATTTATTTTCCATCCAAGGTGGATACCGGGGCAGATTTAGAGATGACCGTTACTATGATGACAGAAGTTATGGTGGTTACAAGGTATGTCCTTCCTGCAAATTACTGGCTTCCATTTTTGACATCTCCTGGCATCATATGAACAGCTGCCTAATCTGGTAGCTTGATCTTAAGGACAGTTGTTAATGAATTTCTTTTAAAAAATATATCATAAGACACAGTTTAGTATTTTTTTGTGGAAAATTTATATTTTTTAACCAGAAATTTATATTAATAAAAATGTTAATTTTCTGAATCTGTTACCCGTAGACTCGGAAACCACTGATCCGATTGCTTTCAAATTTTCACACAATGTTGCCTTTGACTCAATGCGTGTTTTTCTGTCAGAAAATCGCACAACACACACACGGCGTAGCCCCAGCAACAATCAAACCATTATTTGTTTTTAGTTGATTGGCCACCTTCGACTGCTGAGCAGGGCTACCAATAGATGCCTTTTCCCCGATAATCCATCTCCGACATTTCTTTACCGATCACTTTCATATTTTGACACAACGTTGCCTTAGACTCCGCACGTGTTTGTGTGTATTATTGCACAAACTATGAACAACGTAGCTCCAGCAACGATAATTTCATTAGTTATTTTGTTGCCGGCCCAGATTTTTTTAAAGTTGATTGGCTACCTTTGACTGTGTAACACTTAACTTCACATTATTATTATTATATAATTTCATTTCTACTAAATGCTTGAGTATTTGATAGCGTTTGATTCCCCGCTGGATGATATAATTTTTGTTTAGGGGCCACGTTTTGTTGTTGTTTATAGCTAGGCTGCAATATTTACGCATTTTTTGGGGCTCGGTTTTGGGGTTTACAGCTAGCCAGCGATAGCTGTGCGTGATGCTCGCTGGTCATGTCACAGGTTATATTTGTTCGCGCTTGAGAGGGCTGTTGGCATTTTGTGTTGTGGTTTACAGTTAGGCTGTGATATCTTACCCAAAGTCTTCGGTAGTATAGCTGACGCTTCACTCGATCAAAAACTATTCATTGATAACAGAAACTGTTAACTAAGAGGGCTTAGCGGGTTTTGGTCAACACGGATGCCAAGGTTCATTATTAATTCTCCCTTCGGAGAGGTAGAGATGACGAGTATGGGTTTTTATTTTTGCTATTTGTGAGTATAGTGTACTTTTTTTAATAACGGAATATTACTGTGGGCTCCATCACTGGTTAGGTGATGTTTTTTTTTATGCCAGGGGGGCACAGTTAAACTAAACAGTCTGTGGCGACAGCATGTGGCGCTAACTCCTGGCTACAACGACCTGCACAGACAGTAGTGACCGTTTTGTGTTGTGACGGTGGTAGTAGAAGTACTGGTACTCGATGGGTGATGTGGTAGTTGTTACGCTGGCCACATTTACTTCTCAGTACAAATTAATGCTACCCATTTTAGTCTGGGTGGACACGGATGCCAAGCTCAATTTAACAATATTTTGTCAGGCGATGACTTTTCCATATTTCGTAGAGGATGATATGATTGTGGGGGGGGGGGGGGGGGGGGGGGGGGGGGTTTGGATGTCAGACTCTGTTAACTGAAAGAGCTTAAAGCATTATTTTACAGTTCTCATTTCTGTTTTAACAAGGTCGCCAGGTGATAGTGTTTAAATCATTTGAAGAAGGAGATATAATTTTGGGGTGGGGGGGTGACACACTGTTAGCTCAGAGCTTATAACTTTATTTTACAGTTCTCATTACTTAGATATTTATATTTTAATACCGCTTACTCTGCTATTCTTTGGGGGGGGGGGCAATTTGTAGGTCAGTTAGAGGTATAGCAGTCATCTTTACTTTTACCTGTTTAAGCACAAAAGATGCTTTAGCCTGCGATAAACAAACAACCTTTTTTTCTTTCTCCAACCGTGCACTTTATTTGACCACTTATATCGACATTCACTGATAGAGTTGGCAAATCAGACTATCCCTGTAGCTGTGCACTGGCTGATATTAACCATATAAGACAGGTGTGCTTTCTTTGTTCTTTCTTTTACAGTTTACCATTCTCTGCCACAGATACTTGTGGCTGGGTGCAGCTAGTATATTTATAATTTAAAAGAAATAGTAATAATAAATAAAAGATGTTTGTTTGATGAAGAATACTTACCAGTCTCATTTGCATACATTGGATGTTCACTGGATTGAGTTTGCACTTGCAGGGCCCCCGTGGTGGCCGACGCAGCAGAAGTAGCTGGAGAGGTCGAAGCTATGGTGGTGGCCGTGGAGGATATGGTCGCTCCGAGGTCAGTTGGCATTATAGCTGAACTTCTTATAGTCCATGCCATATATAGCGTTAGTAAACACATCTATCTTTTACACTTTCTCGCCTCCACACAATTTTTGTATGAATCAGTGACTGTCTTTTGTTCACTTCCTTTACATCACGATTTATTCTCTGTAAAACTTCATAACTCTTCGTCTAATGAAAATAGATTGCATATTTGTTCTCAACCTGTGTAGTGCCTAAAGATAAACATTAATTGGTAAATGAAACTTTTAGCCTACCGCCTACATGTAGACCGTTGGTAAATTGATTGCTCTCCAGGTCTCTACCTTGGTTCTTGATCTGTATTCACATCACAAGTAAACAGGCACCAGCAAAACACTTTCTATGATTTAAATTGCTTGACATTTCTCTTCTGAACCGGCTGTACAAGGATGACCATTAACAGTGCAGTCATCAGAGCTGTATTTTTCTCAGATCAAAAGAGAAGTTATCTAAAGCAAACCATACAATTACTTGTTTAGCCTGGTGTCTGCATACTGCTTTCTCCTGCTTCGATAGTAGAAGCTCCTGATGAATTAAAGTCGGAGAGCATCTCCTTGAGAGTTGAGACTAAGGGTTTGCATATAAATAAGCTGGATCTGTGAAACGAAGGTACCACTCAGTTACAGGATGTCCCGCGAAATAACCAGGAACTCTAACCCTAGTCAAACAAATACCTGAAAAGCTTGGATATGTCAGCGAAAGGTGCAAACATTGCAGCCCTGATGGAATTATACCTTGGGGCGAATGCAGAAGACGAAACACAACAAAAAAACTAGCTTGAAAGTGTGTATGAGCAACATTGTACTTTTTGTATAACGTTACATAATTTGTGTTGAACAGTTCTTCTCAAAGTCCAAGCCATGTGGCTTTGGTAGGCATGTCTATTCACAACCTTTTATCGCTTATGCACTGAATGTTCCTCCATGCCATGATGTCAGACTATCTAGCATCTTTCCTTTCGGTCTCCGGTCTCCCTCTGACTTTTCTTGCCTCCATCTTTCCTACTGCCACAATGTACTGCAGTTTTCTTCTTCTTCTTCTATCTGTCCAGGGTACTCTCATCATTCGTCTGTAAAACCATATCTCCGCAGATTCAAAATAATTATTCACTAATCTACCAACTGTCCATGATTCACTTCCATATAACGAGATAGGATTTATATAGCTTTTAAGATTTCTCATTTCAATTGACAGAAAGATTGCACAATAAAATATTCTTCATTTTGTAAAATGCTAACTTTGAACAGTTAGTTGTCCTAAAATTATGGCCGTTATTCAAGCTGTTTCCTGTTGGTTGTCTTTTGCAGTGGGACACTTACCAGGAGTATGATGACTGGAATGACTATGATGATGGCAGCTGGGGCGGAGGTTACAATGACAGATGGGGCAGTTACAACTAGATGTCTCCTCCACTGCAGTTCTGGGGCAGTGTCGACTTGTCATGCACAAGCACCTACACACTGCATTCCTGCAGCTGTTTAATGTTCATGTTTAATATGTGTTGCCTCCGTAGCAAGGGTTATGTTTATGACATTGTTATGGTGCATGCTTTGTTTTCAGACTGTTTTCTTGAAATGTTAACTGTGGCATCATCAGCCTCTGTGCTTGGATTGTTGGATGACTACAAGTGCGCAGGACTTACAGCTCTAGTTTTGTTACTTTCACTGACAAAGCCAAGATCCTCAATTGTGTATTCTCATTGTAATATAACTACAGTCATTCTTTGTTTCTGTTTTAATGCTGTTAGGGTTAGCTTGTTTTAACATGTACATTTTACAAGTTAGTTTTTTTCTTTCTGGAGTTGAGAAATTTATTTCCTTGAGCCGAATTTTAAATAAACATTTTTAGTACCCACTTGAGCGTGCGCTGAATGTTTTGTTAGTGTTGTCATAGCAGTCCACCTTGACTTCTGGAACATTTTGTTACTTTTTCATTGTAATCAAGATTCCTAGCTAAAATACCAATTTTCAACAAGAGGCTAAGGTTGCTTAGATCACATGGAATTGAGGAGCTAAGATACTGATTTTTTTTTTTTTTTCTGGCTGCAAGCATAAATTTCTCTTTTTTTCTCTCATCTTTATGGGTTTCTATTGACGTAAGAATAAATAAATAATTTTCAGTAACATTTATGTCTGTTTTGAATTCAGTGATTTAAACTCAATGTATGTGTAAAATTAATTGTGTTGACTTACGTAATTGATTGTCAGTAATCAGTTTTATGAAAACATTGAGAGGTATATATAGGCACGGTTTATTGAGACATTACAGGTTGTGTGTAGGCTTGGTTATGAGTCTCATTGAAACATTACAGGTTGTGTGTAGGCTTGGTCTTTAGTCTCATTGAAACATTACAGGTTGTGTGTAGGCTTGGTTATAAGTCTCATTGAGACATTACAGGTTGTGTGTAGGCTTGGTCTTTAGTCTCATTGGGACATTACAGGTTGAGTGTAGGCTTGGTTATGAGTCTCATTGAAACATTACAGGTTGTGTGTAGGCTTGGTTATGAGTCTCATTGAAACATTACAGGTTGTGTGTAGGCTTGGTAATAAGTCTCATTGAAACATTACAGGTTGTGTGTAGGCTTGGTTATAAGTCTCATTGAAACATTACAGGTTGTGTGTAGGCTTGGTTATAAGTCTCATTGAAACATTACAGGTTGTGTGTAGGCTTGGTTATGAGTCTCATTGAAACATTACAGGTTGTGAGTAGGCTTGGTTATAAGTCTCATTGAAACATTACAGGTTGTGTGTAGGCTTGGTTATCAGTCTCATTTAAACATTACAGGTTGTGAGTAGGCTTGGTTATAAGTCTCATTGAGACATTACAGGTTGTGTGTAGGCTTGGTCTTTAGTCTCATTGAGACATTACAGGTTGTGAGTAGGCTTGGTTATGAGTCTCATTGAGACATTACAGGTTGTGAGTAGGCTTGGTCTTTAGTCTCATTGAAACATTACAGGTTGTGTGTAGGCTTGGTCTTTAGTCTCATTGGGACATTACAGGTTGAGTGTAGGCTTGGTTATGAGTCTCATTGAAACATTACAGGTTGTGTGTAGGCTTGGTTATGAGTCTCATTGAAACATTACAGGTTGTGTGTAGGCTTGGTTATGAGTCTCATTGAAACATTACAGGTTGTGTGTAGGCTTGGTTATATGAGTCTCATTGAAACATTACAGGTTGTGAGTAGGCTTGGTTATGAGTCTCATTGAAACATTACAGGTTGTGTGTAGGCTTGGTTATGAGTCTCATTGAAACATTACAGGTTGTGTGTAGGCTTGGTTATGAGTCTCATTGAAACATTACAGGTTGTGTGTAGGCTTGGTTATATGAGTCTCATTGAAACATTACAGGTTGTGAGTAGGCTTGGTTATGAGTCTCATTGAAACATTACAGGTTGTGTGTAGGCTTGGTTATGAGTCTCATTGAAACATTACAGGTTGTGTGTAGGCTTGGTTATGGGTCTCATTGAAACATTACAGGTTGTGTGTAGGCTTGGTCTTTAGTCTCATTGAAACATTACAGGTTGTGTGTAGGCTTGGTTATGAGTCTCATTGAAACATTACAGGTTGTGTGTAGGCTTGGTTATGAGTCTCATTGAAACATTACAGGTTGTGAGTAGGCTTGGTGTCTCATTGAAACATTACAGGTTGTGTGTAGGCTTGGTTATGAGTCTCATTGAAACATTACAGGTTGTGTGTAGGCTTGGTTATGAGTCTCATTGAAACATTACAGGTTGTGTGTAGGCTTGGTCTTTAGTCTCATTGAAACATTACAGGTTGTGTGTAGGCTTGGTTATAAGTCTCATTGAGACATTACAGGTTGTGTGTAGGCTTGGTCTTTAGTCTCATTGAGACATTACAGGTTGTGAGTAGGCTTGGTTATGAGTCTCATTGAGACAGGTTGTGTGTAGGCTTGGTTATGAGTCTCATTGAAACATTACAGGTTGTGTGTAGGCTTGGTTATGAGTCTCATTGAAACATTACAGGTTGTGAGTAGGCTTGGTGTCTCATTGAAACATTACAGGTTGTGTGTAGGCTTGGTTATGAGTCTCATTGAAACATTACAGGTTGTGTGTAGGCTTGGTTATGAGTCTCATTGAAACATTACAGGTTGTGTGTAGGCTTGGTCTTTAGTCTCATTGAAACATTACAGGTTGTGTGTAGGCTTGGTTATAAGTCTCATTGAGACATTACAGGTTGTGTGTAGGCTTGGTCTTTAGTCTCATTGAGACATTACAGGTTGTGAGTAGGCTTGGTTATGAGTCTCATTGAGACAGGTTGTGTGTAGGCTTGGTTATGAGTCTCATTGAAACATTACAGGTTGTGTGTAGGCTTGGTTATGAGTCTCATTGAAACATTACAGGTTGTGAGTAGGCTTGGTGTCTCATTGAAACATTACAGGTTGTGTGTAGGCTTGGTTATGAGTCTCATTGAAACATTACAGGTTGTGTGTAGGCTTGGTTATGAGTCTCATTGAAACATTACAGGTTGTGAGTAGGCTTGGTTATGAGTCTCATTGAAACATTACAGGTTGTGTGTAGGCTTGGTCTTTAGTCTCATTGAAACATTACAGGTTGTGAGTAGGCTTGGTTATGAGTCTCATTGAAACATTACAGGTTGTGAGTAGGCTTGGTTATGAGTCTCATTGAAACATTACAGGTTGTGTGTAGGCTTGGTCTTTAGTCTCACTGAGACATTAAAGTGTGTGTCGGCTGTTTTTATTCTCTAACCAATTGGCCAGTACCATCTTGTTCTGATAGTATTGTCCCTGTTTGTCAGTGTAACGGTTTAAAGAAAGAGTATTTCCTAGGAGCTCATGATACCTAGTTTATGTGACTCCGTAAATACTCTTGTACACAAAAAGGGGGGGGGGGGGGTGGTGTGACATGGTGGGGAGTAGGTCACCGAACAAATCATCGTAATTATTTTAGGCAGAGGATCCCGGGAATGGACTGCTGGTGGAACAGTCAGCCATGCAAGATGACATCATCAATACAGATGTGAAAGATTAGAAGAATGGGTAGGGTTTTATTGCAGAAATGAATGGTCACTCTAAAAACAGAGAACTTAGTGTACATCTACATCTAGTATGCCAGCTTTTTGATGTTTTAAGAGCAGCCGAATCTGACATAAAATTCATACGGACTGAGGGCAGTGTGGCTCGCATCTCTTGATAAGATCCAGATTAGGAACGTGTCCCAAAACAGGAGATCAGGTTCTGCCAGATATCGTGTAGGTTCTGGTGGGTAGTTAGCTACTTAATGATCAAGGGTCCCTGGGATCAAATGGACAGCAGTAGAAAATGTATACATTGAAAGACTCATTCAATGTACCTTTATCTCTAAACCCCCCTCCAAGTACACACAAGGGCAATGAACTAGATGGAAGAATCAGGTCACTAACATTTAGATATGTTGAATTCACGATTATATGGCTCAAACAGCAAAGGTGAACAAGTAGTTATAGAGTCAAAGCTGAACATTAAAAACTAAAAATGGCAGACGAGCAATACTGTAAGCATTGATACAAGTAGGAAAATAACACCAAGAGAACAATAATATGCAGAGTTTGAGGCAAGAATTTACAGCACTTGGGGCATTCCCATGCCTGCTCCATCATCTTCAGCAGGTAGCGCAGAGTTCCAATACTGATGGTACCGGTCACGATCTGGTTATAAGTCTCTATCTTGCCTTTCCTCTGAGTGTAGTGAGCCGGCCAGACCCTCTGGTTACACCCAGGTGCCTGATTTTCTCCAGGCCATAATCTTGTTCCCAAAGGGACTTGACTACATCTGCCTTGTCATGTATCAATTCACCACCCAATGGTGCAGATCCAGCCAATCCGTCTGCCTGTTCATTACCCACTACGCTGGCATCGCCTGGAGAAAATTTCCAAAGTGTGCTCACCACCCGTGAGGGTCTCGTCTGTGGTTAACAGCAAACCGTCATCCCTATGAATTGCTTTTACTATGCTGGGTCGATCTTACTTGCTCATCTGCCTATGTAGCTCCCAATGTTTTATCGCCCCAATCTCATTATTAAAATGTTCAAATTTTGCTATTTTTGCCTCTGCTGCACAACGCTTGAAAACCTCTATCCTATCTTTTTTTAAATCTCTCCGGTGGCTAGAAAACAAGATACATACACTTGTCATAATTGTAAGACTGAAAGCATGCTGAAAAAGGTGAAGACAGGAATGCTTCAAGCAGAGTGGCAAGCTTCACTGGAAAGGTCACGGGTAGTGAGCATATTTTAGATCTTCTCCAGGTTATGCCTGTGTGGTGGGTAATGAACAGGCAGACAGATTGGCTGAATCTGCACCACTGGATGGTGAATTGATACATGACAAGACACATGTGATCAAGGCCTTTTGGGAACAAACAATGAAATCAGTAGAGAAAGAAGATTATCATGACCTGGAGAGAATGAGGTACCTGGGTGTAACCAGAGGGTTTGGCCGGCTGACTACACTCAGAGGAAAGGCAAGACGGACATATAACTAGATTGTGACCGGTACCATCGGCATTTGAACTCTGCCCTGGCTGCTGAAGATGAGGACAGAGCATGCATGGGAATGCCCCCGGTGCTACGATGTCAATTCTTGACTCAACTTATCTCTTTACTTGCACTACTATTAGCCCTGCGTGTATATGGATGTTTGTCGCCCTTTCTTTAATCGTTTTACTGCAGCTCTCTTCAACTTCCATGCCTGTTCTACATCTGATGTCCACCATAGAGGCTGCACACAAGTATATCTGATATTTCTCTTCCATGCCTTCTGTCAGAGGCGTCCAAGAAGGCTGTTTGTCCGATCTGATATTTCTCTTCCATGCCTTCTGTCAGAGGCGTCCAAGAAGGCTGTTTGTCCGCTCATTCTTGAAAGACCGACAAGCTTTTGAGGCCTTGACTTTGCTGGATTTGGAGATCAATACCGAACTTGGCAGATGATCACTTCCGTGATAGCTCAGAACAGTTCATTTGGTATCTAGTACTGCTGACTGTAACAAACGCCAGGTCAGTAGCCGTGCCTGCATCCCCGGGCCTCACAGCTATTCTGGTTGGCCTCTGATCATTTATGCAGACAAATTTTGAGTCGACCATGGCATTATCAAGGACAACTCCCTGTCGGCTTTCTCCAGTACTATCTCGTTCATTATTCCGTGCATTGAAATCCCAACAAATGAGGAACCTGTTGTCAGGGATCTCCTCTAGATCTCTCAGCCAGTCTCACTGTTGCTTTGTAACTAAGAGCCACAGCAGCATATAAATTTATTATGTTCCAGCTTAGGCCACCAATCTCTATCTGTATTCCCTGCACCTCCCCAGCATCATGATTTCACCGAATCAGGTCAAGCACCACATGTTTCAATCCCTCCTTCACTAGCAGGTATTGCCCGTTCCCAACAGGGTTTACATAGCTAACATTTCCGGGGCAATGATATCTGTCTGCATTCAGCTCTTAAAGCATGATTACATCAAAATCGCATATCAGCCTCTCTAGTAAGGGCCCTCTCTGTCTGGCACTGCGACAGTTCCAAAATCTTTTTTAAAAAATGGTAGGGAGGTTCAAGAGGCTTAAATCTCGTTTAATTGCGCAATAATAATTATTGTGCGCGGAATGGCAAATAAATACACTGAGCCAAGTTTTAAAAATCGACATCACAGCATTCGGGTATTCCCACCCCCACAACACACACATTTTTAATAATATAAAATAATAATATGAAATGAATAAACAAATGCTTAAAAAGAGAAAGTCGATAACTAAATGTGGGGAGAAAAGTGTTGAGGAAAGGGAAGTGGGGCAAGGTGTCCTTGGTTCCGCCGCCTATCAGCAGAACATATAATATGATCGTTGGAAACAAGATTCTGCTATGGGCATTCACAGCACGCTCAGCGGGCATAATAGTCAAATAAACCAACGGCGCCTTCTCCATGACAACCAGCAGCATGACGATGGAGGTGATGGCAGTGACGCAAGCGTTCGCCTGGCTCGAAACACAAAACTACACCCGCGTATGTATACTCAGTGAGTCAATGAGGAAGATCCAGAGGGTTCCGGCAGGTTCGGTTTGAAGACAATGGCTCGAATCATTACAGAAGTCTACTGTGCGTGGAGTCACCTTTAAAAAGGCTTTATTTTTGTTCTGGGACACGCAGGCGTCGATGGAAATGAAAGAGCTGATATGTTGGCTGGATCCGCTATCACTACCGACGGTCAGCCTATGGATCATGCTGATATTAATGCCGTCAGAGAAACTGGTATAGCCATCGGACGTTGGGGTTCACAATGAGGGGAGGATCTGAGCACCTATGCACATGTGCGGGGTGCAATGATGATAACCCAACTAACTAAGATTCTGCTAAAGACAGTGTGGTAATTTTTACACATACAGTTAGCTATCGTAGCTTCAGCGAACATTACACGGGTCCTAATTTTTAAGGTTAAATCCCTTTAAGTGCAAGTGAATAGAGCGAGTGCACAAATAAGTCATCACGTTTTGAAGAAAAGGAGTGAAAAGGGGAACTAGTCGACATTTAACACTCAGGAAAAACAGTCAGACAAACAAACAGACTGCTACTGGTGCCATTAGAATCGGCGCTGGCAGCTAACTATGGGGACAAACAGTCTATGGAAAGGTTCCGTACCTTCGAAAAGAATTCGAAAGATCTGGCCACTTTCGTTTCTTCTTAGTACTGAATGTTTGAAAAAGTATCGGCACTTCCGGGTCATAGTGTTATGTGATATAAATGTTGTCCAGACGATCCTCTCTAGATGTAGACTCGCATGATTATTATTGTTACTGTTAAACTGTCGTTTGATGAAAAATGATCTGAACGTGATGCAAGTATACTGGCTGGCTACAGCTGGGCCAGGCGGTCTTGGAGATGTCAACTGCTAACGAAAAGGTTAATAATAATTTTATTTGATAAATCGCAATTTGGTGTTGCTGCTGTACTTTAGTAAATGCATGAATACAACAATAATTAATATTAGTATTAGTAGTACTAGTACGAGGTATAAGCAGAGGTTGTGAGACTGAAGGTCAAAAAGAAGGATAACATGTGATGATGTCTATCAAAGCCAGCCTACAATTATGCGAAAATAATAGAGGAATAATTCTAATTGTTCAGTTCAAGAAAAATATCTGGCTCTCCTCTGAACTTCGTCCCCACATTCATTATGGTGGCTAAACAAATACCCGAACAGGGCCTCAGTCCTGTGTAAAATGCGGACTTCCTCCGACGAACACATCGTGGCAAAACTAAGATTACAGTCCGTTTACAATTTCGAGAAACGCAACAATACACACGATAATAGCTACATGGCGGGGAAACCACACGCTCTGAAATGCAGGGGCTAAACAAGATGACTGGGACTCACGAGCAGCATCTACCTTATCTCCTGCAACTGCCTCCAATTTATTTGTTGTGAGTCCCAGCCATCTAGTTTGCCAGACACAGCTGAGAGAGCTAAAAATATTATTTTAATGTTCTCATTTCTTAACTATTTTTATTTTAATAATTTCACCTTGGTTGTTTTTTCAATCCTTCAGAGAGGGAGATATGACTGTGTCGAGGGGAGGGGGGGGGGGAGGTATGACAGACACTGTTAGCTGAGAACTACTTTCTTTCCTCTCCATTTCACCATTCTGGGCCACAGCAACGCAGTTGTAATGGTGGAGAGCAAGTGTCCTTTTGTGCTGGCTGATGTATAGTTAAGAAAATCATCAACACTAGACTGCTGTGTAGAAACAGATATAAAGAGCATTTTATGTATGCATTGTGTAAAACCCATGCATGCACTTAAGCTTGCAGACACACATAATTATCAGGCACGTGAACACATGCACGAAAGAGAGAGAGAGCTGTTAATTTTAAGTGTAATCTCATGTCATCTAGTGTAATCTCATTTCACCCTGATCTCTAGTGAGCTCATTTACCTAGCCTTCTTGTGCAGTCTTCTCAGCAGTGAACAGGTGCTCTACCCAGTGAGACTGAGTTTTTGGATTACAAATCTAGTGCTCTGAGGTGGATCCTCTCACACGTAAATACCCTTTAACATCTCAAAATTCTAAAATGTTTGAACTCTAGTGGTTTTTGAATAATTTGTTGACTCTGCAGGAGGATGAAGCAACAAAACCACAGGACCACTGGTACCTGGTGGACACACATGGCCAGAAGTTTAGGCTTCCTAAGACTATGCTTTTTCTGGGTCGGGAGGAATGTGATGTCATTGTTGCAGTAAGTAACACACACATTGGTAATTCTGATGTTTCAACATTTCAGTGATGTTTTTTTTCTTCTTTGTTAAAAATTGTTATGCATCTGTTCCTACATGGAGCACAGACAACAAGATGATGTATCTGAGGTCTTCAGTGGTCCCCCAGTTTTGCTGGGGTGCTCCTGTGGCACAGATTCCCTTTATCTGATTAACCAAGTCCAGATATCCTTTAAAATGTGCTCCCGAGTTTGCTTCACTTATTCATGCAGCAGGTCCCTTGAAGAACGGTGCTGTCACAAATCACCAGAGTCCCATTTTGGGGAAAAAGAAATAGACCCCTCCTCCCCCTCCCAATCAAGCATGTCATGAAAAGTCAACTTATTAGGGGTATTTCAGTCTGCATCTACCTGAGAGGAGAGGAACCAAAAGTCTGCATACAAATGAGCCAGATCTTTAAAACAGGTTTGCACACAAAACTCAGGTTCTGGAACAAGACTACGGTCTAGAAGTGGACAAACAACCAAACTTTCTGCTGGAGTATACAGCCGGTAAACACAAAGAAAAAGAAAAAGATTAGATTCTTGACTATGACCAAAGAACGATGGTGCCTCGATGTTCGTACTTAATCCGTTCCTGATTCTTGAACATATGCCGAACAGTTCGTAAACCGAACAGATTTTCCGCATATGAAATAACAGAAAAATGATTAATCTGTTCCTGTGGGGAAAAAATCCTATTGTTTAACTATTTCAGGCCCATGAATTTTGACAGACTTGGCCCACATTAATTTCCCTTTACAAAAATGGCAGAGGGGTGGGTGTATAAGAATGGCAATAGAAAATGTAATATATTTCTAATCCTAATAAAAGTATATTTTGTTAAAGAGAAATGAATGTACATTTTGAATCTGATGATAAGTATATGTTTAATTTGTTTATAGTTAGTAGGAAAGAAGAATTCAGCAGGTGGTAATTTCACAACAACATTTTACAAATTCTTCAATTACCATGATTTTGTAGCCACAAGAGTAGCAAATATCCACATTTGAGAACACAACTTCAAAATTTGTTCAATTTCCAAACAAATTCCAAAGTTATAAGTTTCTGCATTAATTTAGCACTCAAGGGCTCTTAATTCTCACAGAGAGCTGAGAAAAATTTCAGAGAAAAAAATGGCTAAAAAATGAGCCATTACACACAGGCAATTTACTATTTACTTTCTACAGTTATATGCAGACTGTAACTGCAATGATTTCAATGTAGCTTAGTCATAGTATAGTACAATCTCTTTGTTTAGAGCACTTTCCTTCTCTTACACCATAAATGTGGTAGCAATCGGACACTGTTTGTGTAATAAACTCATCAGAATTGCTAGATTCAGAACAGCTGATCCCTCAGCTTCGATGGTAAAACACCATCTCAATCACTTTCTGAAAAATCTTAATTATCATTATCAGGATTAAAAACATCTGACTGAAACAATTTCAGAGCTTCAGCTGCAGAAAGACGCATTCTGCGACCTGTACTTGTCGTGGGAACATTGGTATTCATGGCACTCGAAAACTAACTTAGAAAATGCACTTTTGGAAAAAAAAGTTCTCTGTGAATGCAATCAAATTATGCACGTGTGGTTTCTGATAGGAAATATATTTGAAAGGATTTCAGCAGATTGACTTTCCCTGAATAGTTTAATCGTACTTCTGAACATTAGAAACAAGTATGGAGCCGTGTGTGAAGCAAAATATACAGGATACACGATCGATGATGACAGCGTTGTTTGGGCAAAATGGAACTTCTCAATCAACGCTCACACAGTTGCTTGGGCCTTAAAGAGTTGAGACATTTTGTACATTGATGAGGTTATAAAGAATAATGTAAATACTCCCTAGTATTATCTATATTAATAAAAATGTTAATTTTCCCGATGTCGCTAGCTAAAAACTCGGAAACTACTGAACCGATTGCTTTCAACTTTGCACCCAACATTGCCTTTGACTCCAAGTGTGATTTTTTTTGTCAGAATATCGCACAAACCACGAATGACGTAGCTCCAGCAACGGTGAAATCATTATTTGTTTCGTTGCCGGCGCGGATTTATTTTTAATCGATTTGCCACCTTTGACTGTGTAACACCAACCTCACAGTATTATATACTTTCATTTCTACTAAATGCTTGAGTATTTAGTAGCATTTTTTGGGGGGCCCCTAACTAAGTGACTGCCACGTTTTGTTGTGGTTTATAGCTAGGCTGCAATATCTATGCATTTTGTCAGTTCGATTTTGGAGATTACAGCTAGCCTGCGATAGCGGCGACGTGATGCTCAATGTTCATGTCACGGGTAATATTCGTTCGCCCTTGAGAGGGCGGTTGGCATGTTGTGTTGTAGTTTACAGTTTGGCTGCGATATCTGACCTAAAGTCTTCAGTTTTCGGTAGTAGAGTTGTAAGTATTCCGCCCTTCACGTGGATGACGGGTGTTCGATTCCCCGCTGGGTGCTAATTTTTCTTTTTCCCCCAAGGGGCGATTGGCACGTTGTGTTGTGGTTTACAGCTAAGTTGCGACATCTGCCCCTTACGCCCAAAGACATCCGATTTTAGTACAGTCTAAATTAGCCTCCCCCTGACGCTTCACTCGATCAAAAACTATTCGTTGATGACAGAAACTGTTAACTAAGAAGGCTTACGGTCCAGTTTGATTTGGTTCCACACGGATGCCAAGGTTAATTACATTGTCACTTCGGAGAGGGAGAGATGACGAGTGCGGGTTTTTATTTCTACTATTTGTGAGTATAGTGTACATTTTTTTTACACCACGGAGTATTACTGTGGGTTCCATAACTGGTTAGGTGATGGAGTTTTATGTCGGGGAACACTTAAACTAAACAGTCTGTGGCGACAACATGCGGCGCAAACCTGTACAGACAGTAGTGATCGTTTTGTGTTGTTGTGACGGTGGTGGTGGTAGTGGTAACAGTAGTACTGGTACTCAATGAGTTATGTGGTAGCTGTTACGCTGGCCACATTTACTTCTCAGTACAGATTAATGCTACCCATTTTTGTCTGGGTGGACACGAATGCCAAGCTCAATTTAACAACAATACTTTGTCAGGCGATGACTTCCCCATACTTCGTAGAGGATGATATGTCACGGTGAGGGGGGGGGGGGGTATCTGTGTTGGTTATGGGGCAGGTTGATGCCAGACACTGTTAACTGAAAGAGCTCAAAACATTATTTTACATTTCTCATTTCTTAACTATTTCTATTTTAACAATGTCACCACATAATAATGTTTCAATCATTCGGAGAGGGAGATATAATTGGGCAGATGCTTGAGTCCTTGGTAGCGTAGTTGTATATTTTGCGTGTTACGCGGGTGACTGGCGATCAATGCCCCGCTGGGTGATAATTTTTTTTCCCCTTAACTAAGCGGCTGGCACGTTTTGTTGTGGTTTACAGCTAGGCTGCGATATCTACGTCTTTTTTCCGCTTGGTTTGGGGGTTTACAGCTAGCCCGCGATAGCGGCGACGAGATGTTGGTCATGTCACGGGTAATATTCGTTCGCCTTTGAGAGGGCGGTTGGACGGTGTGTTGTGGTTTACAGCTAGGCTGCGATACTAATTTTTCTTTTTCCCTCAAGAGAGCTGTTGGCATGTTGTGTTGTGGTTTACAGCTAGGCTGCAATATCTGCACCTTTTGCCCAAAGACATCCGATTTCAGTAAAGTCCTATTTATCCTCCCCGCGGTGCTTCACTCGATCATAAACTATTCGTTGATGACAGAAGCTGTTAACTAAGACTGCTTACAGTCCAGTTTACTTCGGGTGGACATGGATGCCAAGGTCATTTAACATTCGTCCCTTCGGAGAGGGGAGATGACGGATGGGTTTTTTCTCCCCCCTCTATTTATGAGTATAGAACGGACTATTACTGTGGGTTCCGTCACTGGTTAGGTGATGGGAGTTTTTTTTTCTTTTCGTTTTTTTTTTGGGCGGGGAGCTCAGTTACACTAAACAGTCTGTGGCGACAACATGCAGCGCTAACCCCTCTGGCTACACCGACCTGCACAGACAGTAGTGACTGTTTTTGTTCTGAAGGTGGTGGTGGTAGTGGTAGCAGTAGTACTGGTACTGGATGGGTGATGTGGTAGCTATTACACTGGCCATATTTACTTCTTATTACACATTAATGCTATCCATCTGTCTCTGGGTGGACAAGGATGCAAAGCTCAATTTATTTACAACATTTCGTCAGATTATGACTTTCCCATCCTTTGGCGAGGATGATATGATTAGTGGGAGGGGGGGGGGGAGGGGGGTTATGCCAGACACTGTTAGCGAAGAGAGATTAAAACATTATTTTCAAGTTCTCATTTCTTAACTATTTCTGTTTTGATACTTTCGCCGGGGATGATTTTTTAATCCTTCGGAGAGGGAGATATGACTGGGTGGAGGTGAAAGGGAGGGAGGGGGTGAGGGTTATGACAGACACTGTTAGCTGAGAGCTACTTTCTTTTTTTTCCATTTTACTATTCAGGGCCACAGCAACGCGTGGCAGGGCACAGCTAGTATTACATAAATACAAAAGCAGTTAGATGAAATAAATGAAAATGTAACCACACTTTACCTTCCAGAGAAGAGTCGAGTGAAGGCTAGGATGGTACTGAATAGAAAGGAATATTTCCTGTGTAATTTTGGTATTTTTTCCTTTTTTTGTTCTTTCTTTCCTTCTTTCTTTTTCTTTTGTTTCTTTTCACTGCTGGAGCCTGGTTGAGGCTCATTAGGTTTGACTTTTGCTAAACATTTGCCCAAAGAATTTAGCGTCTGCTTTCAGGATGCTTTAAAAATGTGACATTGTCTCTCTGGTCATTCCAGAAAATTCTGTTACGGCTTGTTTTTCTTTGTTTGGGTTATGCTTCTCTGCACTTTGACATCTATCTGCTGCTTTTTCTTGAGAGAAGTAAACAAAGATTGCATGTTGCGTTGTAACTAATTTTGACTCATAAGAGTTCGTATTCCAAACAAAGGTTGTATACCAAGCAAAGGTTTTTCACTTTTAAACATTACATATATCAAGTTGAACATATATCTGAGTGAACGTATGCCACAGGATCACTATTTTTAATTTTCATAGGTGATATTTCTGAGTTTACTTGATTGTTTATAATTGCATAGAATACCATTATGTTTCTTTATCTTGGCCCATGTGATTATAAGAATAATGCCACCCTGTTGATTATTTTCTCTGGTTCTTGTTTCCTGACAGTCACAGACAGTGGACAAGAGACATGCTGTACTAACATTTGACCTGTATTTAAATCAGTTCAAGGTGAAAGATCTCAGCACTACTCATGGGGTAAGTTCAGAGTACTGTGCTGGCACACACTATGTATTGTCACTGTAAGAAAACATATTTGTATTATATGTCTATGTTAGGGTCTCTGTTTTAATGTTTCAGTGTCAGTGTCTTTATTTTAAGGTAAAAAATGTTTTAGTGTCCCTATGTTAAAATCTCAGTTAGTGTCCCTATGTTAATATCTCAGTTAGTGACCCTATGTTAATATCTCAGTTAGTGACCCTATGTTAATATCTCAGTTAGTGACCCCATGTTAATATCTCAGTTAGTGTCTCTATGTTAATATCTCAGTTAGTGACCCTATGTTAAAATCTCTGTTAGTGACCCTATGTTAATATCTCAGTAAGTGACCCTATGTTAATATCTCAGTTAGTGACCCTATGTTAAAATCTCTGTTAGTGTCTCTATGTTAATATCTCAGTAAGTGACCCTATGTTAAAATCTCTGTTAGTGTCCCTATGTTAATATCTCTGTTAATGTCTCTATGTTAATATCTCTGTTAGTGTCTCTATGTTTATATTTCTGTTATGTCCTTATGTTAAGATCTCTGTTGGTGTCTCAGTCAGAAAGAACCAAGAATAAATAGCTATGTTTTGAAACCTATTATCCATATTCCCTGTTTGGGCCCAGGGCCCCGTTTGGGATCGGGATAGACCCACTGTGCCACTAACAAGCAAGTTATAAAAAGGCAAATAATTTAGGATGTTTCCTTTAAAGTAAGACGGCATCTGCCTGAGAGTAAGGAACCAAAAGTCTGCACACAAAGAAGCCAGATTTGTAAGACAGGTGTAAAACGTCTGCACCAAAGTAAAAGTATAGAAATGAATGAATAACAAGAAATTTCTACCAGAGTTTACAGCCGGTGAATGCGAAGAAGAAGAAGAAGAGAGAGAGCCCTTATATGATATACTAGCTGTATCCGGCCACGCGTTGCTGTGGCATAGTTTGGCTAAATGGGGGAAAAAAAAAATCTTGCTTTGTGAAAAGCAACAAAAACTGGAAAAATACACCATAATTACGAAATGAACACTATGGTAAACAGTACCTTACGCACGTTGCTATGCCTCCAATAGAAATTCAATTGACAGAAAAGTTGCTAAAACAATATGTAGTAAGTATATTGGATCATTGTGCTACACACTTGTAGCGATGGTCCCTGTGATTTGTTGATAGTCATTGCAAAGGCAAGTTGCACTGGTAATTGCAAGCGTCTGAATTCGAATGGCATGTCTGTTGCACTCCACGTGTAGTATGTTGGCAGATCAGAGTAAAGTAGTGTCTTTGCAAACATATCATCTCTACACAATGAAGAAATAAAGTTAACATGGTTGGAGTTGGAAACAATGCTCGTGCATGTGAATTTTCTGTAGTGAAGTACACGCGCTATCCATTTTCAAGGTGCCCTGCCAAATGAACAACTGCTGGATGTCGTTCATGAATTGGAAATGACAAAATGCGCCATACTGCTTCATTGCTACTAATGAAGTGCCCCAGCTGATATTGCTCGATTTCATCGATAGATGCAGCTGCATGTCTCACTCCAAAGACTGCCATATCGCATCCTTTGTTGACATATTTGCAAATGTACTTTATTGATTTTACCGAATTGCAATACTCGACATTGATGTGTGCTTTGTACGTCTTCAAGAGTAACGGTGAATATGGTACAACCCAAGGATTATCAGCTTCAACATCATTGTTTCGCACTTTTAAAGTGATGGATTTTCCACCATCTTCAGCTGATCGTCAACGATAGAGAGGATATTTGTCATTGTCAGTGATAGTTTCGGCATGCAAGTCTTTTGGGTATCGTTTCATGCATTTTCCATCAGATATGCATGGTGAATTATTGTTGAGTAAGCCGCATGGATCATGAATCATGTTTTTGGTGACAACTTCAAAAAAGTCTGGATCAATGTTGACATCTGGTATTTCTGCTGAGATAACCTGATCAATCTGATCTGGTGTGATTTTGTTGATGATCCAAATCAAAATGTGTGCATGTGGCAATCCTCTTTTTTGCCATTCGATGGAATACATCCAACAGCGGGTCCATTAAAGATTTCAGTTTTTGTTTAAACACACGCGCTGTAATATCATGATGATCCAATGATGATTGTCCAGGTAACAAAAGTTCTTTGATTTCATCCTATGTAGGTTTGCATGTGAACGTGATAAATAAATCTGGACGGCCATGTGCACAAACATATGTCATTGCATCTTGTGCATACTCATGCATGTGTCGTGGACTCCCTGTAAATGTGGCTGGTAATATGACCGTTTTTCCCAATTCATTGGGATTAACATTGCCATCATTAACAATTGCATCACGTAACTGAATGTACTCCTCTGCACGCAACTTAGTTTGATTTAATCGAATATAGAGGAGTCGCTTGGTTTCAATTTTCGCATACATATCGACAATGTATTAGTGGAACAATTGTTGACATTTCAAGATATGATTGTTAGCGTTTCCATGAACCATCAATCGATATGAATAATAATTCATGGCACTGACTTTCTTATTCATCTACTCATGTGTTTATGGATTTCTCAATTTGATGTTGAAATGATATCCATCTTCTCCTTGCCAAAATAAAACTGGATATTGCAATCCGTTGTATGAGCGATGAGTTTCTGAGACTCGCTGGACATCACCATTTCTGCGATGAAGAATTATATCACGCGAGTTAAAGTCTTTGCCAACCATAAAAATCGCCACTTCATCAATTGTTGGTGCATTGTACCGTCTTTTGTGTTGGCCGACAGGTGTTTTGTCAGCTCTAAGTACAACTCTGTAGTCATCAGCTGGTATTTGTTGAAGAGCAGTTCTGAACAATCTAATTGATTTGTTGTGTTGATTGAATAAAGTTTGTAAAGCAGTGACTATTTCTCATTGTGTCCCCTTATTGAATCGACAACGTTGATCAATTTGTTGATCAGTGTTTCCCATGAAATAAATCTGAAGAAATTTATAATCTGCGTCGGGCAGTGGTAGTAGTGAGCCAGCACAATGATAAATCTGGCCTTGCACTTTAAATGTTGGCATGTAGTTCTCGCACACAATATTTGTTGCACCAAATGATGTCATTTGGAAACATGAAATGTATTTGCAAATTTTTGCCAAAAAATGTTTTGACTGGCTTGTGTCACCTGCTACCAGTGACGATAATGGTTCGGGTGGTTAATGTAATTCAATCATGAATGATTCAAATCAACATGCAGTGTTCGCCTGGATAGAGTAGTCCGCATTCGAACGGTTTCCAGTCTTGCTTTCCGTTGCTCGATTGTTTCTGATAAACGGACTTGAGCAGTGCCTACTCTATTGGCTTCCAGTCTTGCTTCTCGTTGCTCGTCTGACTGAGACTATCTGGCTTCAGCAGTGCGCACTCAAACGTTTTCTAGTCTTGCTTTCCATTGCTGGTCTGATTGAGACGAACGGGCTTCGGCAGTGCGCACTGGAATGATTTCCAGCCTTACCTCATGTTGCTTATCTGTTTCTGAAGCAATTAATGCCCTTCTCTTGCGTGCTCTAGGTGTAGATGGACCAATTGCTTTTCATTTGGAAGGCATCACTGCAAATATTTGACAAAATAATGAACAGTGTGAATTTAGAGAGCGTTGATCATCAGTAGCTTGTTCGTCCCCACGCACTGAATGAAATGTGACTTGTAGAAGTATCGCTGAAAAAAAAAAAATGAAAATATGAGCATGAAATAACATTCTATTTCGACTCATAAGGAAATGCATAGAAACTGCGCAGCAAATATTAAGAAAAGTTGGTAAATGATATGAATAGGTCATAGTGTAGAATAGTGTAGCAATAAGATTTGTGGTATATATGTCTTGCCACTGAAATAATCCACTTAACTACAGACTACCTGCAGTTGACCTGAGACAGAATTTCATGTAAATGTATTTAATTCATTTGAATAACAGGAGAAAGCCAACCGAAATTGTGTAGACATTTAAACTGTCGCAGTTCTATATATTAAGAAAAATAATAGTAACAATAACAATCATAATAGTTCGCTAGACAATATGAGAAAGCCAACAGATAATGTGTATACGTTTATCATTGCGTGATTTAAGGAGTGGTCCACACATGTTTGAAGTTAACACACAAAAAAAAATGAACATACTGACTGATGTCACTGAAATAAATGCGCTCACCTTTGGAGATATTTCTAGATTCTAACACTGACCTGAGATGGAATTTCATGTAAAATTATATAATTCTTTTGAATAACAGAAGAAAGCCAACCGAAATTGTCTAGACATGTAAACTGTAGCAGTTCTATATAATAAGAATAAAAATAATAACAATAACAATCATAATAGTTCGCTAGACAATATGAGAAAGCCAACAGATAATGTGTATACATTTATCATTGTGGGATTTAAGGAGTGGTCCACACATGTTTGAAGTTAACAAAAAAGATGTACATACTGACCAATGATAGTGATATATTTCTAGATTCCGCAGAAAATTGTTGTCCTTGTAATAACTTCAGTTTCGTGGGCAGATGTTAATAATGGAGTGTCCCGAGTCTACTGCGCATGCACGGTGAAAGTCGTTTGTTCCGACTATTGCGCATGCGCATTTACTAACGTGGCTATAATTAAATGTCACCAAAATGAAAATATTAGTTTCAAACATTTTCCGAACAAATGTCGTCACCTATCTCAAACAATGACAGGTAGAATCTCAAACCATGACAGGTAAAAATCCGGTATCAAAACAAACACAGGGGATAGCCATGTTTTGAAAACCATTTGTTTCTTGGCAGTTACAAAGGTCAGTAACCTCTCAGTGAAACTCTTGTGTAGGATCAGGTTAAAACTTGAATGATTTGTTTTGTCTTACAAATTTTTTTTTGGGGTTAGAAGAATAATTTTTGAACAACTTTTTGAAAAATAAGCATATTAAATAAAAACTATAAAAATATTTATTCAGTCATTGACAAAAGAAAATACACATTCAAATGACATTTTCATTT